TCAGTTACAAAACGAATAGATAATACGAATTATATAAGAACTTATGTTTATAATAATATATAGTTTATACCATAATAAAATATATTTTAATTATAAACATAAAATGTATTTAGGTTAAGTAATAAACATAAAAATTAATAAAATGTATCCATTGAGTAACACATGTATATACATTTTCATAGGCGCAGAATGACCCATCTATTTGACTATTTGGAATCATCTTGACACTCCGCATAACACTTCAAATTCTTTGTATTTATTTTTTTCAAAAAAGCTATTGCGTCAGCGTTAGAAGCGTGGAGTTCAATAAAACGTCTGTGTTTATATATTGAAAATATGAGTCGATCGTATACCTTAAGGCCTAATGATTTCAGCATGCTACTTTTATAGCATCCAAGTATTATACAATGCCAGCTTGAGCTACAATTAAATAATGATTTGTATAGATAGAAAATGTAGACACTTTTGAGTTTTGTATACTGATGACAAAAATAAAGGAATGAATGTACGACTCGAAAGTATTGTACACGACGTTTGTATTAAAAAAATAATCGATATTTTGCATTTAGAAAGCATGTCGTCGAGCGGATAGCTAGTTATTTCTGTCAGTTGACCTCCATTCATGCGTCTCAATTCTATCAAACATATGATAATGTAGCCGACGTAACGATGATAATGTTATGTAAAATATTGAAAATCAAATTTTTTTCTGTCTAACTGATTTTTTTCCTTAACATATTTGCTAATAAAACGTATACTTATAAATTATATCAGAAACTAGTTTAATACCTACAATGTTTTATTATTTTTAACAAAGTGATCATGAGTCTTGGATTATATGTATGGAAATGCTAAAAAACCGGATTTTTTTATTTTATAATTTATTTTGAGTTTTAATCACCATCAAGGACAGAGATCAATTATTGAGAACAAATATTTAATATTGAAAAATGTTTAATGATTAAGACATAATATATAACTTTCACGATTTAGTTCATTACAAATAAATAAATTAATATTATTACCTATTACAATAATTTTTCTTTCTAAAAACTTTTTGTGGGCCCGCAAAATCCGACTTTTAAAATATATATTATAATTATTTCTTAGGACTTAGGTAATGACTAGCTATTATGATCTAAGGTCTATCTAAGGCACTGATTACCTTCGAATACAAATGTTGGACTCAGAGATCTAATACATTTAACTTAACGCAATCATACGCACTATTTTAATACTTTAAGTTAAAAATAACAGATATTTTAGCTTCTATGCAGAACTGAGCAGTTATTGTTTTTATTTGTTTGTCTGGGCCCAATATACCTCCGTAAAACCGCTGAACCCAATTCGTCATACAACAAGTCTATAAATCAGTATAATCGTACCTTATAGATACTTTATAGGGCTAAATATTTAAAACGTTTCTCCTTCCCTTCAAAACCGAAAACAACTCGATATGTGACGTCAAGTCCATACAGCCTAGACCCACATACCGTGTTAGCCGGGTTAGCGACAACGACAGTCTGTGAATGAAATACCTCACGAACATGTATAACATTCTGCTAATTATATTTAAACGAATCGAACGATTATTTTTTTCGTTATTAGTAACTAATTATTATTATTTTAATAATTAATTGCAAAAGTATACATTTTTTTGTTAGCCGATATCTTGATATATCGAGGTATGTAAGTAATATAGTTAGTATATATTATATTATATTATTACGGAGACCGTTGTCGGCCGGTTTTTTTAAGAGAGAGGAGAAAGGGGATCTAATTGAAACGGAGGCCATCTGGGAATCTTTAAACACTATACTCGTACGTTTTTCGTCTCGCGGTGAAGGTCTAGTTACGAAACTTAATTTTTTTTTTTTGTAATCTTTTTGCGAAATGAAACTAATTACAAATTGAACTAAATTATTGCCCTCGTATTATAATTTGCGTGTTTGATATAAACATTTAATAATTATAAATATTGTGACAGCTACAGAGATTTAATAATAAAAATAATTTTATAAAAAGTCTGATCGATTTTTATAGTATTAAGTTTATATTAGTCTGCAATGTTCTATACATTTTTATGAGTTATTACATACAAAAGTTATACATAAGCATCAATGTATTTTATAGCGAGACATAATATATTTTTTCTAAGACAGATTTGTTCCAGAACAATTTAACGTTTTCATTTCATACCAAAAAATAATTGTTTTCTGATAATAATACGCTGTGTGTAACCTATTACAGTACCCTAAAACCTGTTACGCAGGCTGTCTACATAATTTATATAGCCTGTAGATATCCAAGTATATTTTATTTTAATCTGAGAGTATCACTTTTCAACCGATTATCGGAGAAAACGTTCCATTTTTTGTATACACGTATACTTATGTAATATAGCTAGGGTCATGCTATGGCGGGGCACATGAAGTGGCATGAATTTAAAAGGAACACCTACATTAGTTCAGTGGAGTGCGCCAAAACGTTATATGGAAAGATAGGACATTCATAAAAGTCGAAAATGCGTCTGCCTCATAACTCTTTAAGATTCGGCTATAAGAAAATAGGTAGATCCTTTTTTCCATTTGATAAAATGCTATAAGACAACATCTATTAAAATATATTATTATGCCAAACTTCATATCAACTGTCAGTTATAAACAAAATTATTTTATATGATATTTGATCAAACAGCTTAATAATATATTAACAGAATAACATACTAATACTTATATAACTTTGAAAATAACTCCATTATTTTGCAACGACTTATTTTAAAAATTACTTAACATTCACTGTCAGAGCATGTCTAATTTGACCATCTAATGACTATTATGCATTATAAATCTTAACTAGTCTTCCGGTTATGCGAAAAAATATGTTTTTGTTATGTAACAAAAACTAGAACTATTCTTTTGACAAGAAATATTAGGCATAATAATTGTTAATTTTATAATAGGTATTAAAAAAATAATGATTAAGCCACATCTACGCTCATATATTTGTTTTGCGCAACAACAGTTAAAAACTAAAAGAATTATTATTCATTTTCAACATTATATTGGTTTTTAGATTTTTTGTTATCAAACTTGTTATTAAGTGTGCAATAGGATGATAGGTAAAGGTAAAGGATGATAGGTTGAGATGCGGTAAAAATCGGTAGAACTAGTGTGCTAAATGTACCCAGCTAAACTTATTGATAATTGGTCGTTATTTATTGATAAACTAGTGTGCAAACTCGCAATAGAAAATAAGAAATAAACAAATTAAAGTACTTCAATGTCGTTGCCAAATCTTGTTGGACCTCCTGTCAGCTGAGTCTCCTCGGTCATGTCCTACCGGCATTCGCTATGGATTTTATTGGGACAATAACATTTGGCGATTTAATGTGGAACAGTTCGGCCCGGTTAGGTTATAGTGTACTCAGATAATCAGATAAGCGAACCGGCTTGAGAAAAAAAATAGTATAAAAAATACATCCCTACGGACCGGTACAAAATTAAAGAGATTTTTCTTTTTGACTTATGATGCCTATTGTCTTGTAAGCTTTATGTGTTATGGTCATAAAGACAGTTCTTTATTCAAACTTTTCTTGATCGGTTCCATAAGGTCTTTTATGAAAGTGGTGGTTTATTTTCGTACTTGTGTTGGCGCAAACGAACAAAATAATTCAGCAGGCTTCATGGTTTGCTCTGTGAGGCCTGGAGGTATTGTCATCATTATATATATATTAGAAACGAAAACCCGTGTCTTTACGTTTTCAATTCCATTGGGTTCTCTGTGTGTATTATAGCTTAATACCAACAAGTGTATGTTTAGCCGGAGCTATATAAATATACAAGGAAAACTGCTCGTCCGACACATAAAGCGAACAACGACGGTATTGCTAATTGCGAAACGCTCAGGTGTAACGCTACCGCCAGATTTCTGACACAACACACGTGCGGCAACGGCTTTATAATAATAATAATATTATTATTATTTTTTTTTTTTTTGTACGCCCGAGTGGGTGCTATGTTCGTGTTTTACCACAAAAATTAGACGAAGAACGCGTGAAAGACACAAATGCAATAATACTATTACTTAATAAAATAAGTAATTTTTGTTATCAAGGCTAAATAAAGCAAGTTAATAATTGTACCTAAATTTAATTTTTTTTAACTTGCTAGTTCTTTACTGGCGGTTTTTTTTTGTAATACTTAAATTATTATGTTAATTTATTTTACCTTATAAAATAAATTTGTTATTTGACATTAACTAATAAAATAATTTATCGGCTTATTCGGCGACCAGGGAAATGTAATTTAAGCGAGAAAGATGACATATTATACTTTTCTTTTCAAAGCAGTGATGTTGAGGCTTGGCCCATTGCTTGATACATTTTTGAAAACATCAACAACTATTTAATTTTTCTGTTAAACTATCGTTTTTTTTGCTAATATGCCTGAATAATATTTTAAAATTTTGGCACCATTGTTTTAAAGTAATTTAAGTTGAATTAGGTAATTTGGTCATTTTATACACTGTCTTGTTGTTGTTTTATGTTTAAAAATACAAAAAAAAAACAATTTACGACCGAAGTTCATAAGTTATATTATGCCCCTAAGTAAAATGTTGGAATGAAAATAAAATAATATAGCACTATTTGTTTTTCTTCGGCTATGTATTTTATCCTCCTATTCAAATAATCTCAAAAAAGATGGTTGAAATTATACAACTTGTGTTCTCAAACGATTTTTTAATTTGAGAAAATTTAGCTTGGCTTGATTTCGGTCAAGGAAGGGTATCATTTTTGTTAACAAGGGAGGGTATCTAGCAAGAAACCTAACGATTTAATGTAATATATATTTTATTCAACTAATAATAATTAATAATTAATTATAATTTTAAAAACGAATTAATTAAGTACCGTTTGCCTAGAATATAATAATATTATGATGTGAAATAATTCCCGAAACGTTGACCTACTACTTCGTTGTAATAAAATTAATATTAACTTTTACTTGACTGATGCTGGCCCGTTTGTGGACTTCAGAAGGAGACACTATATATCCATCGACCACCAGCCCTTCCTTGGCGAACATGCTGCAATAATCGGCGGTGGCGTTTTCCATGGTGCCCGTTCTATATTTAAGTGAATTAAGTTCTTTTCGACTTGAAACTGTTTAAAAAAACGTTTAAACTTGACAAAACAAACTCATATAATAATAATAATAAAACCTTGGCGTATACGAAAACCCGAAAACGGCTTTCGGACCTAGCGGTGGCGGCCAAAAAATCGCTGCTAATCGCTCTTAACGGGCAAAAAAAAGCGAGCGCCGTCCACTCGCCGATAGACACCTGTTACGACTGTTGTGAACCGCTTTGTACACCACCACCACACACAACATACACCGTGCATAATGATAATAATATTCTTTATTATAGTGATCCTGCTGACTGCTCCAAGAATAAGGAGAACCGGTCGAGGGGGGCCTGTTTTTACGCACCACTGGCCACTCTCCGCACGCTAGTACGCCGAGTCTGACGTCGCTCTACGTCATCGCCAGTTTGTTGTGATATTCATAATTATTATTTTATTATAAATGCTAATACTACTACTACTACTACTCATGTTATATATTTACTTATATCATGTATAATATATGCACATACACGTGTCTATGACGACACATAAACCCGTGCGCTCGTCTCTTACCTTCTTATGGGAAAAAATTAAAAATGATTCCGCCATTATATTAAATGTGACACGTAAAAAATAGCGCTATGCCTGAAATGTTAATTTTAATTAGGCTATATTATGTGCTTATGGTTATTGGTTTATATAAATAAAATTACATAAATACGCTCGGCGTCACTCGTCAGATTATTTGAATAAATAAATTGTACAGAACGTGGGTAAAGGGGACTGGGGACTAAGTCAATATTTGACAATATTAGTTAAATCATCCTTTTACATTGTTTCGCATTGTTTAAATACTGCACTTCTATACCAAAAGTCAAAAATGTACGATGTGTTTTGTAGAAAGCTAATACAACCTTATGAATCATAAAAACTTAAAAGCTCATGTTCCAAAAGTAAATACTTTTATATTGAGAATAAGAGAACATAAGTGTTTAAAAAATAATACATTTTGCACGGCCTACCTACTCGATGACTGAAAATTGGAACTTTGCAGTCTATTTCAATAAGAGTCTAAGAAAGCGTGTATTGTCGTCTGACTGAACAGCCAATAAAACGTGTAATAATACTTGAATATATTTGAAAGGTCAGAACTCAGACGCCGGACAGTGTTTGAAGTTGCAACTACCGGCCTAATGACCTTAGTGAGTTGGGTGATACAAAAGAATTAAGAATATTGTTATATTATGCACATTGTACATGTATAACATAACCCGGCGTGTTATAGCTATTGGAACGTTCATTCACCTTGACGCCATTCCGAAACATTAGTAGGAAGAGTTGTTTATGTTTATGCTCACGTCTTTACTTTTTTTTTTTAATATCAAGTTATATTTTATTGACCGTCCCAGTTGTAACTGCATAATAGGTACTATTGTTATACGTTGTGCAAATTTTAGGGTGTTTGACGCGCAAACCACTGTGCTATCATTATGAACGGTCAAGTGTCAACCAATAAAATCCTATAGGTTAGTAGGTACCGGAGGAGAAGGTACCTATATGGCTTTAACCTTCATGTACAATATATAAACGCGAATAATACAATAGGTATTTTTTTAATATAAGTTGAGAGGTAGATTTAAATTTTATCAGTTGCATCGTTATTCGTTGCAACAATTTAATTATATATTTTTATATTATAATCGATTCTTTGTATTAGTCAGGGATTTAATTTTCTGGATTAGGTTTACAATTAGTGGAATTAGTATAGTTACAATTTTTATACTGCAATTTGTTTTATTTAGTTAAAAATAGATATGAACGTTTCTTTCTTTATGTTAGGAGAGGTAAGAGGGAGAAAAGAGGTAATTGTCAAAAATAGTTTTACTTCTCATTCAAAACACCCTGGAAATTAATATATTTTTCAACATTAAAGTACGTTATATTTTCAACAAAAAAACCCAAATTTATTCTAAATATATTTGAAGTAATAATTAGATAGCTCAATCGATTAATACAGTTAGCTTTTTCTTGATTTCCCTTTTATAGGCTAACTTTTTTATTAAACATTTTTTTTATTGACAATATTAAACTTTTGTTGTTGTTATTATTAACAAGTAATAAAAGTTAAACCATGTTCCTACTGTACTGGTTATAAAAATTTTGGGTGACGGGCGGCTCAAAATGTAGTGATAAAAACTAATAATAATAGTTTATGAGTAAAACGATGACACAGAAAATACGGTAGAACACAAAACAAATTTCTTTTCATATTATGAATTACTTAGTTACAATTTTAAATGGCCAATCTTATCGAATGTTTTATTTTAACATGATATTTTTGGCTGGGGCTCTCCAAGAAAATTCATGAGATTTTTTGCGTAACACTAAATCTCTTCTTCGCTCTCTCCTCTCAAACATTCTTTGGATTTAATGTTATAAATATAAAATATAATATACATGTCGAAAATAATTCGACATGAATAAAACTATAACGTAATATTTCTAGCTTATTAAATCAAAATCTTAAATTATATATACCTACTACATGTATATTTATATTTAACTATGATGTAGTCCTGAGAAATTTTTTTATTTTTTGGTACGTCGATTTATTTCATCTTTCTTGTATAATGAATTTTCAAAGCTTGTACTTAACTTTTTATTTAATATAACGTTTCACAAAAGTTGCATTTTTCTATGGTTTACCGTAATATTACATTTTTTAAATAACGATAAAATATGTTTGGAAAGTTATAAGCCTTTGAAAAATTATAAAATGCAATGTCCTATACAACTCTTGCCATTTTAAATCTATTAGTCATCAACCAGTTTTCGTGTCTGATAAATTGGATATTTTTGATTAGGTATTATAGGTATTATTATTATTTGATTAGGTATTATAATTTAAAAACAATTAACATCGGTCATAACCAGTATAGTTTTGAGTTCTATAATTTTGTGGCGCTCGGGTAAAAGACTAAAAGGTATAAATCAAAAAATTGCACAAATGGGGTTAAATACTTAGTACCTATACACATAGGATACATTTGTTCGTAGTTGTGGGAGAGAGGGGTAAAAGTGTAAGACTTAATAAGTTTTATATCTAATAGTTTTGAATTTAAGACTTTACTCAGGCACCACAGAATTGTAACGAAAGTAACCGCGTGTTAAAAAGTTATTTATTTTATATACATAAAAGAAATTGTTATATCGAATAGAAACCACTTTCCATGCTATGAAACGATACAAGACTTACATAATGTTTATTATTGTGTAGATAAATAGTACATTGTATTGAGAGTTATGACCAACAATATGATCATTTTTAAATTATAAAAGCATAGACTGAAATTAAATTAAAAATAGATACTACCTCTGAGCTTCATTGTTATTTATTACGAATAGGAATCATACAAGTTCTATTATGCATCATCCTATAGTCTACACGTACCTATTAATAAATATTATGTGATCACTGATCATTATTTGTAACTTAAATATTTACTTGTCTTACATCAATTATATAACTATTAGTTGATTCGTGTCAATCACTCTGTTTTTCATTGATTAGAACACAAGACAAGAACAATATTACTATGATCATAATATACTCTACAACCATTTAATTAATTTAAAAAAGTTTCTGTGAGAAAAATTCTCTATTTTACAACAGAAATGTAATAAGCGCTTTACTTTCTTAAATCTTTCCTTTTTATAAAAATATGATATCCGTCTATTTACTGTTTAAGTGAAAGGTTCATCTATTTATTTATTCTAATTAGGTATCATCAATTACACAAATTAACAATTTTTAAATAAATTCCATATTCAGCAGGTAATTTCTGTACTTAAAACGAATTTTTGTAATAAAACCAATGAAATAATTTTTCAACTATGCACAAAATCAGTGATGTTTACTACTTAGATCCTACTAAAAAAAAACCTTGTTATACATTAAAATTAGTAAATATTGAAGTATAAATAAAACTATATGAATTTATCTTGTACATGGGTAAGGTATTCATGAGTGATATAACTGAGTGGTAACTCTTAAAAAGTTACCAAGTGACCTCTCTTAAAATTGCTTAGACTAGATGTTATAATAAATCACAATTTATTTTTCTAAAACATGAACACCTATGGTCAATATAAAAATCTGATTATTTGAATTGCTATTTTATTAATCCTGTAAAATAAAATAATTATGTAGATTCCTTAATATTTACATATTATATGAAAAATTACAGTTTTAAAAGAACTCAATGATGCGATATCATCTACTTCATTGTAGATTTAATTTTAAAGAAAATTATTATATTTTGATATGTAGTTCTATTTTTATGAAACCACACATTGTTATGGAAAAGTCAATCATTTTTTAGACCATTTTTTTGGCTGAAATTTTTAGTTTTCAATTTATTAATATAAAAACTAAACATAATGGTATAATAGTACTATATTGTTTTTGTAATATTGTTTAGAGATAATAATTACAAAAATTGTATCGGTAAATCAAGTTTTTTTTAATCAAATGTAATTTACTAACAATATCAATCAACTTAAATTGTAGTTTCAATATTTTTCCTAGAAATCATGGAGAAATAAAAAATACATTATCGTTAGCGTCATATTTGTCATTTATAAAAAATAATTTCTGAAAAAATATTCAGAAAATAACATGTACATACAGTAATATATTTATAACTATCTTCTAAATCCACGGCCACCTCCTCCTCGTCCACCTCCTCCACCACGACCACCGCCAAAACCTCGGCCACCTCCACGACCGCCTCCTCTTCCAAAACCACCTCCAAAACTCCCTCCACGGCCACCTCCTCCACGGCCACCACCTCCACGACCACCACCACGGCCTCTTCCTCTCCCGCCTCCGCCTCCTCTACCACCTCTTTGACCACCAGGCTGAGGCAAGAACTTTTTCAGTGGTAATAATTTTGCAGGATCAATGTATAACTGTAAAAATATAAATATATTAATAATAATCCCCATGTAAAACAAATTACATTTATACTACCTTGTCTGCAGCTTTAAAAGACTGTGCTTTAATTTCTGAATTCAATTTAATGGATACAAAATAGTCACTGTAGGTTCCAAAAATTTCATCAATTTTACCAATTTGTTGTTTATTGGCAAAATATATAGGTGCATTGAAGTAGGGAACATCTTCCATTTCAGCCTTACATATTATATCATCTTGACAAGCATGAGTAAAAGTTCCGAGAGGTATTACCTACAGTAATAAATAATGATCAATATTAAAATGACTACAAAGTATTTAACACATAATACATTTTTCATTACAGAAATAGTATTTTATAAATTATTATTATTAATAAAATGACTATTTCTAAATTTGTTACTCAATAAATGTGTTAATTTTTTTTATAAATAGCTCAAAAAGTCAATAAAATATCCATAAGAGTAAACCAGTGTATTAAATAAGAAGTTATATTTTTGAAAATTCTGTGTACATTAGTGACATTCCCAAAGATCAATCAAATGAGGGGAGGTGAAGAAAAATGTGCAGAATTTTGTATTGAACAATTCTTGTAAATTACATTCTTTTAAATTTTAAGCATCATTTTAATAAACTGATGCTAAAAGGAGCAGACATATTCATAAGTGGATCATTTCGCAAAAAGTTGTCACTTTCAATAATGAAATTTTACAACAAAAATATGTGCTTTTTTAAAAAAAAAAAATCCAAACAAGGTCGTCATTGACACATTTTGTTTTTAATGTAACCATTAAATTTCCCCATTTCCAGGGAAGTAAGACAAAGGGGGTCTAAGAATTTCCATAGAACCAGTAATTATATTGGTAGTTTTAGGAATGAAAAAATTGAATTTTAATGATATGGATGTACCGCCAGATAACACCTTACTCTAATCTACAATAAAGATATTACCTACATGATGTGAGTTGTTCATAAATTTAACTATCACCAAATGTTTACAAATTTTAATCTGTTTCCCATACGTTATCGTTGGTTATGGAGACAGAATAAGGTTTGCCCACTACTTTAAAAATTACTTCTCAAATAATCCCTATCCTGATAGCAAATTCAAAGGGGGGTTAGAAGTACCAATAGTGGGATAGTCATAAAATGTGATTCCTGTATTTTACTGTTGAATGATTAGTATTTTTTAAAAGAAAAATCATCCTTTAGCAGACAGTGCTGCCATACTATTCCAATGTCACTTTTTTTCAAGCGCTCTAGAATGGATCAACCTTAATGGATAGTCTTTGGAATGAGCTAGTGCTGTGATAAAATATATATTAATTGTTTAACCTTTGTTAATGAAGCATATGAATGATTCTGATGAGACATTTTGTTAACCAGAATATACCCTTATAAACAAATTTCGAGACATGCCAAAAATAATGATAAGGAATGCCATGAATTCTAATGTACCACTTTCGGTTAAATGACCAATATAGAAATATAGCATCTTTAATTTCTGGATAAGAATAAAATAATAAACTTAGATACATACTTCTTCTGGAGGACCTTGTTCAGCAAACTTATTAAATCCACCTCTTCCTCCACGGAATCCTCCACCACCGCCTCCACGAAAATTGCCTCCTCCTCGTCCACCTCCATCACCTTAAAAAAAGTTTAATGGTATAATATCAGTATTATATTTATAACTTACAAATATATTAGAAATATTAGGCTGGAGCATGGTCATTAAATGTTTATTTTGTAACAATTATAAAGCACAAAAATTATACATTTTTTAGTTTTAAAGTGCCTCAGTGCCATTTCCAAACTATTGATTCATAAAATGTTTATGCAACCCAACATAACTATAATAGATAAGTAGTTTCATCAAAGTTTACAAGTTGTATGGTTTATAGTTTCATGATAAAATTATAATTATTATTTATAAATTAAATTAATAGTTTCATTAAGAAATTTAGTATTCTAAATTACAACAAAAAAAGCTAACATAGATGGGTTGGCGCATATATTGACGACAGAGCGTATTGAAGTCAGAAATGTCAAAATCATCGATCTACTGAACGTTAAAAAAATTATTTGGACAATTTATAATGTAAAAAAACTATTCAATATATTTTCAAAAAATATGTAAACTAAAAAATTACTGTTATTTCTAAAAAATAATGTGTCATAAGCTAAATTGATGACTACTGCTACATGAAAAAAATATATCAAACATCAACAAGTAATCATTTTATAATAACTTGTGTTTTTTATTGAGTTTTACTTTTTGATTTTCATTAATAAAAATAGTTTAATATTTTAATAGTTTGAATTTAGATCATTTAGTCTAATTTGAAAAAATGTATTCACCTATTCTACAAGTATGGGTAAAGGGTTAGGTTAGGTGAAGGGTTTAACCTTATATTTACAGCTTTATGAAATATATTTTGAGTATGATTTCTGATCTAAAGACTTGCTACATTAAGAAATTCATCAGGTAGTTAAAGAGTTTTTGTCAAGAAATTTTAAAGTTCACACCCGTATATGATGCAGAATTACTTTTTAAATACCAATTAATTAATACCCATTATGATTGTGTCAGGATTGATATAGTTGGGGAAAATAAAACTACTTCCACCAAATTTTGATACTGGTTACCTTAACACATTTTTGAATTCCTAACTGTTTTATTTTTCCACACCAGTGAGAACTATCGATTTCTTGAATATGTACAGATCAAAAAATACAAACAAATCTATAAAAAACAAGTACCTCCTCAGCTCTGTTTCTGTGTATTTTTTTAAATGTTTTCAATTCCGTTTTTGTTATCTTTTATTAAATATTAGATACCACATTTCCAAAAGTAAATTCATAACAGATGCCTAGACCCTAGTTTAATACAGTTTACTAATAAAAATTAAGCTGCAATTGAAATCAATACAAAAAGAAATTTCCGTTAAAATTCATAGCTTAATAGCATAGAATAATCACACTGCATACGTATTATTTATTAGTACGTCTAACTATTACAACTATGTGGAAATCACACTTGAAATAGTAGCATAATATTAACTTACTTCTTCCCCTAAATCCACCACCACCACCTCCTCCTCCTCGCCCGAAACTATTTCTATTGTTGTTAAAAGACATTTCACAAATTTAAACTTTACTATTTTAGAAATTAAGTTACGACGGCATTAAATTACAACGGCATGGTTAGAATGTTTAGCGGCCCAATCTTGAATTTTCCATTTGAAAATGTCACGTGCTTACCGTGCTATAAACATTTCTTATCACTAATAGACTATATTATCTGTAAAATGTTGGTAACAATATGAAACATGGTATAAAAACAGGATTCTTATGTTTTTGACATGTTGGCTTATCAACAATCATGGTTTCTGGGGCTAGCAGCTACAGACTGGATTTCCAACAAGTATAAACAAAAATCGAATGGGTATAAACATTACGTACCTATTATCAGATTTTATTTTTTACCTCCATTATCTACCCGCGCACCTATGAGCCCCTATGGCTGCAGGCTAGATTCAACCCTCCGAATCCCGGCATGTCTCGATCGATTCCCTTTACAGCTTGTTCAAAGCATAAATATTTTATTACGGAATAATTAGCAATTACTAGTGGCTGGCGTGAGTCGTTGATATTATTAAGTCATTATTATAAACGGCACGAGAACTCTTGTAATGGACAACTCGGACGACCTAAAATCAGAAATTTTTGATCCAATCATAACCGAAGACGACCCCGAAACGGACCAACTAAACAATGCCGATGTAGTTCTGCCTACTAACAACACAAATATAATAGCAGAGCTATCTGATGTTCCGCCAGCTATACAAATAGATGAAAATAATGAGCAATCCAGCAAAGACATGATAGTAACAAGTTCTCAATATTTAAATACTAAATGCAATATGGCTAGTAGTGATGGTATGTTTCTTTTTAGTTGGCTAATAAATGTTTTTTTTTTCAAGTAGAAATATACCACTGGTACTATTAATTTCTTCAATTATTGTTATCGACCTAGATACAGAATATTGGAATTCACACGCAACAATGGTAACTCCTCCAAATTTATGTAATCATAATATAATAGAGGGAACTTATTCTAAAGAAATTAAGGACATAGAAATTTCATCATCAGCAGAGACCTTAGAAGATAAACTTAAATCGGTATTTAAACATCAATTGTATTCAACTCGTCCATCTTAAAACATAAATTGATTGTTCATTAGTTTTAACAGTTATTCTTTTATTTTTGTTTATTTGTCGTATTTTGTTTTCATTTAGCCAATGGATTCTGATGAAGAAACAGATGATATAAACATTTCAACTGATATTCAGTATGTACGATGTATAGCTGCCATCAAACTAAAAGACACAAAAATAATAGAGGTACATATATTTAATACATAATATTTATACTTAATACTTGTGGTATTAATTCCATTTTTATTTCATTAATTTGTTTAACTACTTTTATTGTAATGATAAGTGCTTGTTTAGCCAGAATAAATTTTGTTTTTGAAAACATTTATAACAATTAAATGTGTTAGGAGCATGATGCGAAAGAGTGGTTATCTCGGTTGTCACTTGGCACCCAAAGTTAATCTGTGTCTATCGTTGCTTGATCCCGGACGGGTAATCACCTGTAATTTTTAGTGGAAGCCCATTCCATGTCCCTACTGTACGTGTTTACATAAAGCAAAAAGCTAACAGCCTATAACAAAAAAAAACAAAAATTAATGTATTAGATGTTTTTTTTACATTTTGAATGCATTGAATTTACAACAGAATATAGGTGATTACATGTTCTGTTATAAATATGTATTTTTCTTATTTCAGATTTCAATACTTGATCCATATTTCAAAGTAGATGTGAAATCTGAAGGCTCACTCAGTGGTTACATTGCCGATCACTCTGGGTCATCAATAAGTTCAACAATGTAAGTACAAAAAAGAAAACAATTTATTATGGGACTTCAAGGATGTTAATATTAATTTCCTTACCATTCCTGTTATTTTAAATATTAATATTAAATTGAAATATCAATAGTGTTGTAAAATATTTAAAATTATGAAATTCTAATATTTTTATTTAAATACTTTACAACATAAATTATTTTAATTTATTCTTTTGTAAAACTGAATATAAAACTACATCTTCACGTTTCATATATACACAAAAATATGTGAAACAGAATGTCCAAATAGTTCTTGTATCTAGTTAAAACCACATGTGTATTCATGTACTTAATGTTTTAGTTTGAGAATTTAATGCAAATTATCTGTGTAGTTTGTGAAATTTACGTGAAATTGGTTATAACAAATATCTATGTAATTGTATGGTAATTGTTATTAAAATACTCATTTTTTATTTTTTTATTTATTTAATGGCACAAGCCCAGTTGATTATATATACAGTACAGAATTAATAATTACTATTAACAGTTATATAAATACAATATCCATACAAATTTTACCTAAAGAAAAAAGTTTCAGTGTTGGCTGTATTCATTAAACGATTTAGATTCAGCGAGTAGTTTGTAGAAAAATGAAGAACAAATTACTGGAAGGACGAGCGAGTGGACTGTACAGGGATTTTATAGTTTATATGGAATAGAAGATAATACATTTTCGCGGAATACATTTTCCCTGAGACAGAAGGAATGACATATTTGGTGCATGTACATTCAGACAAGGAAAGAATGTTAAGAACCTTTTTGACAGGGAGTATTCATTAGAAGAACAAGGAATGTAAGACAAAATGCACCTCTGGACCTATTAAATCATGGCTCTGGCCCTAGATGTGGCAGGGTCCAAGAGAATAGAACTATATTCTAGAATGGGACATACAAATGCAAAGTATGAGGCTTTAAGAAGGGAAGCAAGGTGAAACTCAAAAGACATGTATTTTTTCACTAGTACACAAACTTAAAGAACTAAATGAGAGCTTTAAAAAAAAAAACAAAGTTAAAATTAATATTTTCTATATATAATGATAGATCAAGATTATAATAGTTAAATGACTATAATAAATAATAATAAAGAATACTACTACTAATAATAATAATTTATTTTAAAAACTGTACCTATACTTAAAGTAAAATTTATGTTATTTTGATTACGCTTTATTCCAGTGAAGAAAAGTTTTTAATTCCAAAAGTTCCCTCTTATTCTATTTTATCTGTTTCATCTTCAAGCAGCAGTAGTTCTTCAAATGTCCATTTACAGCAAATAAAATGTAAGTAGTTATATTAAAAAAATAAAAATTATGTTTTATCTTAAAATTAAGATGTTCTAAAATATATTATAAAACTTTTAAGTTTTATAATATATTTGTGGTAATGTTTTCAAATTTGACCGTTTTTAATAAATTTAGATGTTTAGTTTTTATATTTTTAAAAACAATATAATTTTGTTAGTTATTGAACTGTTATTGTCTATATTCTATAGTCTACTCAGTAATAATCAAACTATAAAAATAATAATAAGTGGTCTGATTAGCCATAAAATTGGGGGCGGAAGGTTGAAATTGCATGTCAGAACTGCCATTAAAAAATTACCATAAACAAATGTCTTGGTTTTTATCTACTCTAATAATTTTGTTTAACAGTTGTATATTACATAAAAAAAATAATGGTGTTATTATTTCAGCAAAACAAAAGAAAATTACTTTAATGTCAAAAAATAATTTGTCTTACACATCACTGTCATGTCCCAAATGCAAATATTTATTTCCGACTGTTAAACATCTACCAGATTATAATGATGCAAAATATGAAGGAAACACTGCAATGTAAAAATAATCTAATACTCTAGTGTAAATTAATGTATGCTAATTTATTATTTATTTTTCCTACAGGTACCCAGAAATGTGTAATTCTAAAAATACAAAAAATTCAAACAGTAAAAGAAAAAATGAAGAAATAAATAAAACACATGACGTTAAACTGGAAAAAGAAACAATTGTATATTATTAATTATATTCCTTTATTGCTAATTTTTTCTCTAAATATTTATATTTTATTTTAGATTACTGAAGATAAAGATAATGAACTTATTACAAAACAAGAATTGGAACAAATACCTGATACTCAGCTTGTAATTGATAGCAAAATAACAGTTTCCTTTGATATTGGTGTGTATTACTTTTAAATATTAAACAAAATGCCTTGACTTCTGAGTTTTTGACTTTAAATTGGATGGTATATAATTTTTTTACAATAGTGTCAGTAATAATAATTTGTGTCTAATATTTTAGGATCAAAAGTATTTGCGTATTGGATTGGAGACAAAATGTTTTATCCAGCAACTATTATTGATAGAACATTTCCTAAATTTAAAGTAGAATTTTTGTCTGACCATCTTATAAAGTCCTTAACTGAAGATGGTCTCGTACACAGTGATGCTTTAAGAACAGAAATGTCCATTGGAGTCATTGACAATGTATCACAAGAATATAAAGTTGGTGATATCATCACAATTCCCAAGTAAATATTGTTTTTACTAAAATATTTTTGCACCCATTGATAATGATTTTGATTTAAACATTTTCTTATCAGAATAATTGATGACGAACAAAAGTACAAAATTGATTTTGGTTCTGAAATAGTTGATGTTCCATTTGAAAAATTAGTATTGAACACGGAGCAAGCCAAAATGGTACAAGAATTAACAGTTCATAAAAATGTTCATGATCTTAGCTCTTGTAAGTAATTTTATTTAATCAACTAAATATTGTGTTCTTTAAAATTGTTATTGCTGTTAGAAGAATTATTTAGGAGGCTAGCATTGAGTCCGTTTTTATGTGCTTTTGAAGGTTTTTAAGAAAATTTTTTTTGAAAACTGCTGACCAAATTAAATGGTTTTTTTTTCTCATACTTATATCTGCTGGCTCGATCATAAGAAAAAAGAACAAATTAATTTTTAGTGCTCAGGGCAAGAAAAGCTTAGAAATTTTTTTTTGAAAATATCTCAGTTCTGAGATACAGGAACACTTGAAAAAATAAACCTGGCAATATCTTTTTAAAATCTTGAATAAATGTACAGTGAATTACAAAAACCTTGATTTTACAGGCAATATAATATATTTTTGGTATACTATCAACTGTTAACCTTAGCAATTAAAAATAAAACATTTTATAAAGTGCTTCCCCCCCTCATAAATATTTATTGTTATGAATTCGATCAATGCGGAATCAAATACATATTTTAAAAAAAAAATAGTTTTTTTGATTTTTGTCGGTACTAGCCAGGACAATGAGGTTGATTTATATTATGGATGGAGTATAGTAGGCCTGGAAGGTCTTAATTACTTACATCCTTAGGAATTATTATAACTAAGTAAAAAAAAAAATTCTTCAAAGCAAAACTTTGTATGGTAAAAACTAATATCAATATAAATAACAATAATAATAATAGGCAATAATGTTATATTATATTTATTATAATGATGTGTTATTGATTTTGGTTTTTACTTGGTAATAAAATACTTGTTGCAGTTTTTTTTAATTGCTTGAATCTTATGTAGATAAAAATGAGATCGATTGTAGTTTTATTTCAGGTCTTAAAACTACCACATAAAAAGCAAAGTTAGAACAAAGTTGCCACTTCTTCAGAGAGAAATAGCTAATATTTTTTACTACACATCAGATTGTTGGGGACGGGTGAATTTATTATACTTTATGCCATATAAAATAACAAGTTTTTTATCAATACACTTTCTACAAAATTAGTGGTTAAAAAATTATAATGAGTGGTCCGGACACAAAACTATAATATACAACATAAACCTAATGTTGTAGAACCAATTCCTTCCCATTTCTGAATAGGAGCTTATACAATGGAATACAATAAAATATAAGAATAGTACTCCATGGAATAATATATTATATAATTATCAATTATCTATTAGTTTTAAAAATTTGGGACACCTGTTAAAAACATCCAAATGTAAAACTAAATGTTGAATTTCTGTATTCATCAACTTTCTACTACCAGTTATGCAACAATTGTGACTTCATTTCTGCTGATTTTATTATAGATTTAAAATTCTATAGTAGTTATCTTAATATTTGTATTATCTAAAGATCCAAATCTATTATAAAATATAAATACTTTAAATTATATAACTATATTTTGCTATTTGATAAATAGTAGTAGTACATGATATAAATAATTGTTATTTTTTAGCTGAGGCGTCTACGGGTAAAAGAATTCGACTATCTCGTTCAACCAACATAAAAAAAAACTTGTTAAATAAAACAGCTAATGAATCAACTAAACGTAAAAAATGTAAGCAAACTGATGTTGAAAAAAAACGTAAATGCTTATTTCCTAAACATGTCGAGCCTAAAGATGTGCCCAGTACGAGTACTGGTATTACCGTAGAAGCTGGTTTTAATGCTCATAGTAGGCGTTCTCTATCTGAATCTGAATTTGAGTAAGTTACACAATTTGTAATTTTAATTAAATTTTGCTTATAAATAAAACTTGTAGGGATAACAGGGAAGATGTATGTACTATTGATATGTCAAAATTGAATGATTCTCAAATCGATAGTGAATATTCATCTGCTGAATCTGTGACCAAAATAGATTGTAATGAAAATACTAAAATTAAAAAAGTATTTTCCAATCTAAATTTTGTTATAACTTACTCAAAATATAAACGACGGCCAATGCCAGATGATAGTGACAAGAGTTCTGAAGACAATGACGACACAAGTAAGTATCAACAATTTAGTTGTTTTGCTTATTACAATTGAAGGGCTGCATGAAAAACAATCATAGTCAGTTTTTCATAAAAATGAGTAGTTGCACCATCTTGATTCTTCTGGTTTGTTTCCAAACAATCGAGTGGTGAGAAAGAATTCAAGTTCCGCGCTACAGTAGCGTTTTAAAGATACCTAAGCAAAGAGTTGTGAAACTTTAAATTGCAATACTGGAAATTTGGAAATAATGAATTTTATTGTCATTCTTCATGGTCCTTCAGTTGTGCTCAGTACATTAGTTGATTTATATTTATCAATTAAATTAGAAAAATATGAATATATTGAAAACTCTATTTAATATTTTATTTGTACAAGATATTATTCTTTATATAACTAATATACCAATACATTTCAATATGAAATTAATAATTATCTATAACAATTTCTAGCTCAAGATCCTTACGATGCTTCAGCTGTGGATAAAAGGTCTTTGAATAAAAAAATAATGAAGTATGGTGGCACAACATTTCGGCGGGTAAATGAAGTACCCAAAAGCTTATTGAAATCTTGTTACCTCATCACAGATACACCATCACAAACCTGCAATTTTTTTTTGGCTTTAGCTCTTGGTGTACCAGCCTACCATATAAATTTAATTCATCAAGCAGTTGAAGGAGTAAGTATTTAAACATAATTTTTCTTAAATATAATACTTTTTCATGAAAGTTACAAATTGTAATAATTAAGTTTTTTAATTTTGTTGAAAATTTGTAGTTTTTAGATGAATAGTGTGCAAAATGATATAAAACATAAAATTGTTTTGTTGTATAGAAAACAAATTGTCTTTTTGATTTACACCTACAGGTGCTCTGTTTGCCGGGTGAGAAATAGTCTGGTAAAAAAAGATCCGTTATCCCCCTCTCTGATAATAGACTGACAAACAGTACCCCAGATAACGAATCCATCAAAAAATCTCCTTCCTAGGAAGTGGCAACGAAGCCTTACATGAACTGCCTTTGCTGTTTCTGATTTACCTTGCTATTAAGTGAAATTTTGTATAATGATCTACCCTTGTCTTTCTGTTTAATCAACGATTTGCATCTTTGGTTTTTATTGTTTACTTTAAATTCTATACAAATTTTGCACTATTTTTATCTTACAAATGACAATTAGTTGAAAATATTTTTTTTTTTGCGAGAGAGTTATTCAATTTTTAGTTTGCTTATGGCCTTGACACTGTCACTGGTTATTATTATTTTGATTGGTTTTCATTTGTTATGATATTTGATTCATAACTGATAGTACATTTTATTTTTATTTATTTTTTTAGAAAAGAATGTTTAATGAAGTGATATCTGGTGTTAAGCCAATATCAAATGGTTATTCATTAGAACAAAAGAAAATGATTTACCGTTCTCCAAACGCGGTCCGTTCAAAAATATTTGATGGATTCATAATATATGTAGCTTTGGGAGAAAAATGGGAAACCAAATTTTGGGCTTCACTGTTGACATTCACTGGAGCCATAGTTTATACATCGTGGAAAAACGGTAAGTCATTTAAATGAGCCCTTACTAGTTTTATACTTACAACAATAACAAAATATATAGGAATCTATTTATTTAATTTGTTTATAATTATGCTCAGGGATAAAAAAGCCGTTAACAAGCCACACCACTGTTATATTAACAGATAAAAATTGTCCAATAGAACTTCAAAGAGCTGATGTACCAAAGGTAAGTAAAATTTGGGTAAATCAATGTTTAATATGCGAATCAGCCAGGCCTCTCGATGGACATGACGACTTTATTGCTTTTTCAGACATAGATTAAAATAAATTTTGACAGTGATACGTTTAATACTCTGTTTATAATTATTAGTTTTACATTAACTACATATATTTGTATTATTATTTATGTTCTTAATTTATTTATATATTTTACTAATAAAAACGAAAAGAAAAATATACATTCTAACGTTTACATTCAAATTCCTGTTGTTATATTAATATTTTGTAAATAATTGTAGTACATTACATTTTTTAATTTTTTTAATAATTAGTTATTTCATATATTTATTAAGAATTAAATAATGGAAATCTATTGTTATAATTTTAAATTATAATACAACTTTTGGTCTTTTTGGCCGAGAAATAAAACTATTTTTTATAGGTTTTTTTAATATTTAGTATACTAAAATTACTTGAAAAATTAAAATTATGATTATGTATATCTAGTGTATTATTTTTATACTTGTTTTTTATATATTATGTTCTGTTATTTTACCAAAGTGATTTACGACTAAATGTTTTTGTTTGTGCTTTTTTTGTTATTAATTTTGATTCTTTTATTTAAGAAATATTATTTAATATATTTTTTTTTTCTAATAAAATGTAATAATTTAGATTTTTTTAATTGTATTGCTTTAATAAATTATTTATTATATAATTATGTATAATAATATGTGTGATAGATTGAATTAAAATTATTTTTGAAAGTACTAAACTGATGTATTAAATTTACAACCATTTAATTTGTATTCTTTTGTGCTCAATGTTAATATAGTTCTTTGGCTATACCTGTGTAAATTGTGAAAAATGTTTTTATGGTCAATAAGCTTTACCAATTTTTAGTATTTTACTAGTACAGTGAGTTAATTGAAATATCATAGAATCGCATAATGGTATTATTGCGACCTCAAAATAGTGTGTAATACTATTTATTTAATAAGTAATACCGTTTGTAAAATATTAAATGTAAAACAGTAAAAATACAATAACAGGCCATCTGTATAAATAGCATTATTCTTACTCGCAAAAACATATTCTAAGAAACCCATCAAAATTCAGCATAGTGCTTTAACTGACATTCACTTCTCTACTTGTTTCTTAGTGTTATATTTCATACTAGGTAAACGAAAATCTGATTTGGAAAATAACATTTTTGTGTGCATGTTTCAATGTTTTAGTAATAGCACTAAGACTAACCAACATTTCATAGGAGAGGTAAATATAATACACTAATGTCTTTTAATTCTTTTTTTTAGTACGTTCAAAATTTATATTATGTTTTTCACAACCCCAAAAAACATTTTGCTTTCTTAGGATAAAAAATTAAAGTTATTATATCATACTATAAATATTTTCTCACCAATTTTTAAATGTAATTACATTTTGGGTGTAAATCTACTTTGTGGGTAAATACCTTTTTTAGCTTCAATGCGATAGCTGAGAAGGTATTGATTATAATAATGTGTTTTTTATTTGTGTCAGCACTCAGCAGATACTGTAACATTTTTCCTGTAAAGTATTAGACGTAGGTGAGTAGTAGTAGTGAGTTAGGAGGTCCATTGTTCTCAGATAAAAATACAAACATCGATAAAAGCATTGTACTTAATGACAATTATGTGCTTAAAAATTAATTTTTATTATTAGCGTTGATTTTCTGTCTATAAAAATGTATTGCCATTTCAGACCCAAATCCCTAAGACTGATTGAAAAAGTGAAATAAAGAAGAAAATTCTATCCCCTTTAGGAGAAAGGATTTTGGGCCCATGGTATAGACGAGATTTGTGTGCGGTTGTGTATCAGCGAGGCTTTGGAGGCGAAAAGATTCCCGGCTATTTGGTCAACATAATCCGGGGATATCTAAGTAACCGATCGATAGATACGGCAGTAGGAACCAGTGAGGTGTATTGTGGAGTTCTTTAAAGGTCTGCCATTGCACCGATACTGTGGGACATATTCTATAACAGCCTTCTGAGACTCGACCTTCCTGTCGGAGTGCAGCTGGTAGGTTTTGCGGACGATGTAATCGTGATTGGCACTGGTCACACGACGGATCCGCTGGAGATGGCGATAAACCCTGCGCTGGTCATGGTGGACAATTGGTTGGAGACGCACGGACTTAAAATTTATCACAGAAAGACAGTGATCATAGTGATGACAAACAAGAGAGGCTTTAGGAAACCAAACATTTTCCTGCAGAATGAACGTGTAGACTGTAGAGCTTAGCAGGACAACCAAATACCTAGGTGTTGAGCTGAGCTCTAACCTGGGGTTTCGCGACCATCTTCTGGCTGTCAGGGACAAGGCATCGAGGACAGTAGCCACGCTGGCCGTCATAACTCATATGCCCAATGTTGGGGGACCCAAATCAGCAAAACGTGCCCTACTTACGTCAGTGGTCCATTGTCAGTTGTTATATGCGTCACAAATGTGGAGCAGTGCGCTAGTGTTCCAACGCAAAAGGGACACTATCGAGAGCCCACAGCGTACCATGGCTTTAAGGATGGCAAGTGCCTATAGGGCCGTCTCTGCCGCAGCCGTACTCGTGGTGTGTGGGATCTCTCCCATTCATCTACATGTCCGACAGCGAGGTAGGGTACTGGACCTTGTGGCGGAAGGCCTAACGAGGGCGGAGGCCAAAGTGAGAGCTACAGACAAGACGCTGCAGCAATGGTAGGCGAAGTGGGCCGTGGAAACAAGGGTTCCCTGGACTCGTCGGATACTGCCCGATGCAAAGAGATGGGCATCGAGGACACACGGCGTAATAAACTACCATCTCGCGCAGTTTCTGACGGGCCATGGATGTTTCAGAGCCTACTTATACAGGTTTAATCACCTAGATAACCCTCAGCGTGTCTACTACCAGCATCCCTGGGACGATGCCGAACACACATTTTTCGTGTGTGATCGATGGCAGCAACTCGGGTGGTCACTGGAGACAAAGTTTGGTATAGATTGGGAGCCAGACAACGTGGAAGACCATATGCTGAGATCCTCCGACTAATGGAGGGCCGTAGCCGACTATATCAATGCAGTTCTCTCAATGAAAGAAGAGGACGAGAGAGAGACAAAGGGGAGTGGCGGGTACTGTACCACCGGCTCCTGAAGACTAGATCGGTGATCGATGTGAAGCTACGAGTGCTGTCCCACCGACACAGAGGATTTAATATGAATATAAATGTAAATGTTCAAGAAATGTATATATTGAAACTAGAATGTTTGTGTTTTGGAAACATTTTCGTGTCCGCTCAAGAGCGGTAAACATTAAAGGGCTTATGTTTTGTTTCCATTTTCGGCAACATCTGTTTGTTTGGTGTAAACAGTGTTTTAGCGGCATATTGTATTTGTAAAATCGCCTTTAATATTTTCTTAACTTTCTTACGCCATGAATCAGCAATAGTATATAATAATGATCAATTCATTATCATAAATCAAAACTATAATAGTTGCTGGTAGGTGTAGGGGAATTCTCATTATTCCTTCATTCTGGCTCAACTGTTCACTCCACGAAAAATGCGGTCCTCTTACTACATTTAAAAACGCAATTTTTCCTATCTGCTGAGGTTTAAATATTTATTTTATGTAAATCATTTATTTTTGAAAGGTGGTAAGTAACAATTTTGTTGACAATAACTTTTTTTATTAAATATGTTCTGTGGCTATAGACTGATCGTTTACTTTTAAAAGGAGTCAAATTATTTTATTATGGCGATTCATACATTTCGTTTATCTTAAGAATAGCGCAATGAGAAAAACAGTTATTTTTAATTTCACTAAAGTTTTATTTTATGGTCTTACCCCTTTCATTAAATATATGTATATACATATATATAAACATAAAATATGTATAAATGCATATTTTAATACTTTATCATTATTGCGTATTAAATAAGTGGTTACATATTCTTTTTGTCGCGTTCTGTTTCCATTTTGTTGTTTTCGATGTAAACAGAATGTCTGCATTTTGTTGCTGTTTTGTCTTTGTTTTTTGTTTGTCGGCTTGGTGTAAACTCAGCATTACTGTCGTTTTATACAACATTGATGTTACGTGATAATTAATATAGTTAATTGTTATTGTTGATTTTATAAGTATAAATATAATAAATTTGAATTTCGTACCTTGGCTTTAGTGGTTCGCCCCGAGGGGGTCACCTACGACCACGGACCGACTAGTAGCGCTAGGCGCTAATTGCAGGCCGGGGAAGGTGTGTGGCAAGAGAAGTGAATCGGCAAAAAGCCACTTATCGTTCGGCTCGATGTCGCAATAGTCGCATTTTACGACAGGCGCGAGAACCTTGGAAGTATTATTTCTCCCCTATCCACAATAAATTTGAATTTAATAAAAATCACAAATCTAAATTTTTAATTATGTAGATATTTGCTCACTAAAAATCAGTTTTATCTAGATAAGATATGAAGGGCAGCGGGGAAAAAAGATCAATGTCAATTTTTTAACATTCTGAGAAAATCATGTTTTTAATTACAAAACGTAATACATTTTGCCTGTATGCCTAAACTTCCGGCGGTCGTTACTCTCGACTAATTTGTTTTTTCCCTTGTTCGAGCGCATAAAAGATACAATACACCAATACAAATAATTTGGTACCAAAATCTCATTTTCAAAAAAAATTGACATTGATCTTTTTTCCTCACAGCCCTTCATATAAAAAGTAAGTACAGTGGGGCCGGAGCATACTAACTACGAATCTGAAAATTTGGTGCTATTCGTCCTTAGTTTGGAGGTTATAAACATTTACTGATTTTACATTCTGATCGTTACTCCCGACGTCCCGCATCCGCACCCTCAAACGTGTTCGTTTTTTTGCTACCTACTTGAAAAGTTAATACTTATAACTAGGGCTTGGAATTTAAAAAAATAAGTGACGGGTTAAGTAGATTTATTCCATTATTTCCACATTTATTTTATGAATTGATATATAAATTTCAAATTATTAAATTCATAAAAATCGTTTCTATTCCTAAAATTCCAACGAAAATCAAAAGGTCATGTAAACAATCGGTTAACAGTTATTATAACAGATTTATGATTAGAAGCACACTACAAAATAATACGTTTGGCTTGAACAGCAAAAAATATATTTAATCATTTGACTTAAATTTTTTATTAGATAAATTCTAAAATAATAATTTTTTTAAAAAATGTCTGAAAATTAAAATATTGAACACTTTGTATGTAGAGTTGTGCAAATGCTTGTTTGAGTAATAAAAGGGCTTATAAAGCAACTACCAGATAAATCTACAATTATAAAATGTTCAGGACAATAAAAAAAAATTATTTATCCTATTTACTGAAAATGAAATGAGCGGGAGAAAATGTGTTTTGTAATGTCTTTGTAAATAATAGTTTGATTTTACTGTTTTTGCACCAAAATGTAGATAACATTTCCATGGAAATAAGAAGGTTTTGAAAAAATAGTTTTATCCATGGTTAAAATATATAGGTTATTTCACATTGTCCCCAAATGTTATCTTCAGAAAATTGTATTCCAGGCAGCTTAACGGGAATTTCAATTTTACTAAAATATACTACTTTATACTATATGACCCGTTTTTACGACTGCAGTAAATGGCCATGACAGTACGACAGTAGTCAGTACTATCTAGCTTAGCTTGATAGTGTGACAGTACTGTCGTAATCATTTACTATCGAATAATTTACACGGCGACAGTTTCTGTCATGACTCGTGACATTAACTATCACCATTTACTGTCGTCGTGTAAACGCGCCTATAAATTAATTATACAATATAATGTATATTTAATCTATAATTATTATACTATATAATTTACCTTGTACTCGCGATGTAGAGTTCTTCTCTACATTGTGCTTGTACTTAAAATATTTTATTTTGATTGGCTGCCGTTAATCGTTATGCTGACGTCAGACATATCACATGTTCGCTTTTATCATAGACCTATCTTTATAGGTCTATGGATTTTATCATAAAATATTTGATGAAGGAGCCGTAGTACCTATATGGTATATGTGCAAATTGCAATAACTATATATATTTCAATCATGGTTCCAAGCTCTTCAGTTAATCCTAAGCAAACTTATTCGAATACCATTCAATGTAATAATTATATAAATACAAAATGAGTCAATTATTTACTGCAGAATAAACTCGGAATAATAATTTTTCAAATATTTAACTTTTTAATAATGTATTATCTTAATAATAATTTAGATAACGTTTTTTTAAATAAAATACAACTGCTTTTATTCTACAAGATTTCCAATATTTTATTTGTCAACGTCTAATCAATACAATTGTAAGAGGAATATTTGGAAGTATTGTATACAGAAGAAATTGTACAATCATTAAATACTATGCCGGCTATGCTAAGTTTGACAGCGATGTTATTAGACATTAGTTTCGAAAGAATGCTACCCTGACGAAAACTGTTTGAAACAGAAAAAAGCATCCGTTAAGAAGTATCAACAGAAAATGCAAGCGATTTTGCTAGCAGAAGTTCTAATATAAATAAATAAACATTTTCCATATTCGTTATAGTACACATATTTTTGCAAATTGTCATAGCACACAGCAATAATAAAACAATTTTAATTTAAGCAGTGTCCATTAACAGAAAATTTTTAAAATTATTTATTATTACTTCAAATGTAATTTTGTTAGTGCATTACAAAGTTTAAATTAAAAAAAATTCTAAATAATAATAATAAGAAACAGTAAATTTCAATAATACATAGTTTATTATTATACATAAATAATACCGGCTAGTGACTAGGCACAACAATCTATTGTTATTACTTTAAATAAATAAATTAAACAAACAAAATTTATCATGTAATATTATTTAATTTATTAGTTATCACGAATTATCAAACAATTTTTTTTGATACATTTATTTATATTCTAACTATTAAACACTTAATATTTTGGTACACAATATGTTTGGTATTAGGAGAAACTGTAGCTAAAAATATGATAAAATAATATAATATACTTAAGTTCTGTAGGTATTGAGTATTTTACTAAAAATATATTTGAAGTCATGGTCATTAATTTAATTGCAATACGTTTAGTGAGTAAGTTCATGAAAATTAAAAATAAAGTAGTAAAACATAATGAATGATACAATGAAAAATTATGTTTAAAATGTTTTGGATGACTTTGAATGGTTATTTAATTAAAATTGTCTTATAATTATCACAGAATAAAAACTCTGAATAAAATGAAATAATTACATTAAAATCGTCTAAATTATTTAACTAATTTACAACTTTAATAAATAATTTATTTATTATTATGTATAAATAATAAAATAAAAAAGGAACACGAAAAACTCGAAGGGTTATTGCTAATTCTGTGTAGCCTAGTGTTTGCACAAAATATACAAAAATACAATGATCGTAATCAATTTATCAAAAATAATAAATATTTAACGACAATTGTTAAGTTATGACGATTGTTCTATTTTACGACAAATCTCATTTGTAAACTCGGAACATTTTGCCTTTCCACCAAGATCTCCGGTTCTGTATTGACCTTCTTTTATTGTTTCAAAACACGCACTTTGAATAACATCGGCATAACTGTTAAGTTCCATATGACGTAACATCATGACGGCTGATAACAAAAGAGCGGTAGGGTTGGCCAAATCTTTTCCTGCAATATCTGGAGCAGTTCCGTGAACCTAAACATAGATTACATTACAATTAATTAATAATAATAAAAACAGGTTATAGAAAATTATGCTTACCGATTCGAATAGAGCACCATTTCTGCCTATATTTCCACTGGGCGTTAGTCCTAGACCTCCGACCAAACCGGCGCACATATCAGACAAAATATCACCATACAAGTTTGGCATGACAAGAACATCGTAATGACCAGGATCTTGCACCATAGTCAAACATACAGTATCTAAGTATTTCTCTTCAAATCTAATTTGTGGATATTTTGAAGACGCTTTACGACAACATCTCAAAAACAATCCATCTGACATTCTCCTGTGAAATATATTATAATTGTGGTAAATAATCAATGTTAGCTTATTTTAAATACAAAACTAAATTTATATACATGATGTTAGCTTTATGCACAGCAGTAACTTTGGATCGTTTATTCTCAACAGCGTATTTGAAAGCAAACTCTGCTACTCTGGTAGAAGCTTCCTCAGTAATTAGCTTGATTGACTGTACAACACCCTCGACAATTTCATGTTCGATTCCAGAGTATTCGCCTTCGGTGTTTTCACGAATGGTTACTACATCTACGTTTTCATACAATGTTGGATACCCTTCGAGAGAACGACATGGCCTCACATTGGCATATAAATTAAATTCTCTATAAAAAAAAAAAAATTAATTCATAGATAGAACTTGGTATTCATAATTTAATATTTTGGCATAAATGCACTTTACCGGATACCCTTTTTTTTGTCATATCATACTACTATGGTATTTTTTTACGCCGACTACGGATATGAAGTCAGAATTAGGCGGACTTCTCTAATTCAAAAGTTATAGCTACTTGAACTTTTTCCCACATAACAGTAGGCAAGGTGGCAATAGCTAGCAACTGTCGCGACTATGTCCCCGCCCTTCGTGATCCTTTTTTATTTTTTCAGATATGTGACACGGCTTTTAGAGCCTGCCGCCACGGAGGGCTGCGGCGCGATCGTCTTGCACAACAGTATTCTTAAAGTTCAAGTAGCTATAATTTTTAAACTAGAGGAGTCCACCAATATCTGAAATCAGATTCTTAATCAGCGTAAAAACACTACGATATGGCAAAATAAAAGGGTGTCCAGTAAAGTGCATATGTTCCAAAACTATATTAGGTTAAGTAACACTTACTTTCTGAGTGCCAAGTTCAAAGAACGATGCCCTTTACCGACCGGAGTCATTAAAGGCCCCTTCAAGCCGATTTTATTTGTATTTACCGATTCAATAGCTTTGGATGGGATTTTCATCGTACCGTCCGGAGCTTTAACAGGAGTTACATCAACTGTGTCCCATTCAATCGGGGTCTAAATTAATAAAGTACAATGTAGAAAAATAAATTAATATTAGGAAATTCAGTATGTAATAGTAAAAATGCAAAAACCAGCATTAAGCATATTTAACAGTAGCTTTTTACTTGAGCAGCTGAAAATATTTTCTGTACTGCAGCTGATATCTCAGGACCAATTCCATCGCCAGGGATTAAGGTTACCTTTCGTACTTCTCCGCTATATGAACGGGCCAAATACTGAGATATATTATTCTATAGGTAAATCATAATAAAACAGATTTTGTGAGTTCACAACTCAAAAAAATTCACAACGAAATGTTATCTTTGAAACGTCGACTCGTTTTAGCAATATAAATATTTAACCATACGATATTGTTGCTCATACTTACAATTTTATGGAATATCCTGTGGGCCATTTTGTAAAATTCAAACTGAACAGTGGACGGTATTTTGCGCTAGTCAAACAAAAAATAATTATCGAACTACGGAAAAAAATTTTACTCTAAGCTCTGGCCTATGAAAGGGTTGATTTTTTTTTTTGAAAATAATTTAAGAGGTTAAAGGAACAGCTGATGTTTCGGGACATCGGGCGGTGTTTTTTTTATTACTCCATGACATGGGAAAGCCAGATTCTGCCCAGCCCCCCTGGTTTTAAGCAATATCACAGAATAAGGCAATACAGCCAATACTATTGTCATTGATTAAATAATACACTAAACTATACAGTACACTTAATCAATGCTTTTGTTAAAAACAAAACTTGATAAATGCAATGCTAATGGGAAGACAATATAACTATACGCATTCTAGTGGACAAATTCGGCACTGTCCGATTCGGGGTTGATTATAATATTATTGTTTAGTGTTTACGTTTGATTAGTATGTAAATAGTAAATACTAAATTATTAATTAAGTATGTTTAAACTTTTAAAATTTTGTTTGTGTTTAAGCAATTTTAATTTATTTTCAATTATTTTTAAAAGCATTATAAATATATACTTTTTAAATTTGTTGCAGAGCTGAGTGCCCGCCTGCCTCAGCGGACGATATGGGTCTGGGAGCTGGGTAAAACACTGACTATGATTTCACTGAATTTATTTTTTAAAAGCAAATGAAATGAAACTAACAAGTGTATAAAGATCTCGATTCCGTCTTTTGAGTCTTAAGTACTCAAAAGAATAATACGCTGGAGGGCAGTGCTGGCGTATAAAATGTATAAGATATAATGGGTGAATTATTTAATTTAATTTAAACTATTTTAATTAAAGAATTGATTTATTAATGTTGTTCAATAGGAAGGTATCATTTTCTGCAAAATGATATATATATATATGGGCATTTTTATTTATAAATGATTAAAAAAAATGTTATAAATATAAATCAAAGGAGTATTAATACATACATACAAGTAAAATATTATATAATGAAACAAAATTATTTTACTAAAAAAGTAATATTGTTAAAAATCATTGCTGACAAGTAATTTCTTCTGGCAGTTAATTCTTGAACTAATAAGAATTAAAAACATAAAAGTTGCCATTACAATTAGATAAAAAATTTTAATATTTGCTTATTTTTATAAAATATATCTGTTCTAATCGGTTAGTGGTTTGCATAATTTAGTTGTTGTATAAATAATACAAATTTACAATTATTTTTTGTCCCTTGTCTAAATGAAAAGTGTATGCGATATGGGGTAAATGGAAAAGTTTCTAATACCAATGACAAAGCAATTATAGTTTCTCAGTGGCTAATTATGTTACTGCTTTTACATTATGAATTAGCCAAGTATAGAGTGAAAATAGAGCTGTTTTCTGGTACTGTTCCAGTTTTGCATTAAAATAAATTTGTTGAAGAATTTAACAACATTCAGAACAGACCAAGGTAAATCATATTTAAAAAATTAACGCATTTAGTAAAAATATGTAATTAAATTAAAAAAAGCAAGTACAAGGGGGGCGAGGAAGCCACAGGTATACAGTAATTATTATAGCTGGAAGGGATAAAATCATTTTTAAATAAATGCTTCAATGCAAATCTGTTTATAATAGATTCAAGATAATATAGTCCATACCAAGCACAATAAGAAAGTATTATACATTAGTGAGTAGTAGTAGTAGTGAGTAAGGGAGGTGCAATGTTCACAGATTTAAATAAAAATATTGTACCTAATGACAATTATGTACTAAAAAATTGGTTTTTAGTATTTGGTGTACATGATACAGGTTGATAGTTTGTCTATAAAAATTTATTGCCATAGTTACCCATACATTGTAACAATATATAACAATAAAATTAAAAAAAATGTTCATTACCTGTTGACTGTAGATTCACTCACGCAACCTGGAAATTGACAACTATTTTAGGGAAATCGGTAAATATTTATGGATGTATGCCATAAAATTTGGGCACATTAGTTAAGTTAAAGTAGTACAATATTGTATTACAGTATTGCTGTAATGTAATTATTTTTTAATGTAACCTATTTATTTAACTAGTAACAGCTCTTATTATTGATTAGGATATCGTATATCATTCGTGTTTGAATTAATTTTAATTTGTATTATTATATTGTTTTATTATAGAATTATACATTCGCTTACCGTTTGAGAACTTTGATCCATATTATGCTAATTCCATTGAAAAACCCCTTACTATGCAACATTAGCAATACAGAAATAACAATATTTTTAAGATTTATAATCACATGATGCAATTTCTAAGAAAATATTAAGCGCGCCTGAACTCCTCTCGAGTATTCCCCTTCGTATTCCCACTTTTTTTACTATTACCCATAATATTTTTGATGTACCTCATTCTAACTCATACAGGCATAATTATTCCATACATAGAAATCTTTACCCTGTTAATAATAACTTTAATTTAATTTGCCAACTTAGTTCTTGCATCTTTTGTTTAGTTGCATTGGTTACTTATTTTATCTATAAAATAATTGTTATTTTAATTATTAATTATAACATGACTATTGACATTTGACATTGTACATTACTAATATCTTGTATTAACTAAGCAATAACTCGTTGCACGAGACGAGTCAATTTAACATCTCCTCTCTTTTTAAGTATAAGTAAATGTTTAATTGTATACTAACTGCTAATTATATATAATACGTGGCTCCTTATAATTGGGCCTACTGCCTATTATAACTAAATTATAATTGTATTACAATAATTATGCAAGGTACTTAAAATAATTCCGCGTTAATAAACAAATAACAATAATTGAATCGTTCATTTCAAAAACCAAATAAGCCATAAAACTAGAATTAACCATGCTACACAAAATATATATAACTTAATTACTCCATAAATCAAACTTAATTTGCACCTTACTTATTAATATATTTATTTTTAACATCTATGGTCTTTATAATTTTAAAAAGTTTTAAGTATTAAAGAATCGTAGTTTTTGCAAGAAATAGCGATTTATTACATATATACAAATTCGGTTTTAATTTTTGGCTTATTAAGTTAGGCTTTCAGGTATGATTTCTGATTTATAAAATTGTGTTATAAAGATATCGGTTAAGGCCTAAGGGGCCTCTACACTAGAATTTCTTAAGGCGCATTGTATAGGCAATTTTTCGCTTAACATTTAGCTATATGCTTTAACATATGTTTCTACTTCAAACGTACTGATCCTAAGAATCCTTCGACTTAAGTTTTAAAAAAACATTTGAATTCTTCATAAAATTTTCAAGGCATTGACTGTGGCACAATTTTAAAATTATTTTTAGTTAATTAAATATTTCAATGTAAAAAACTGCAATTTTTAACTTTTTTAGTACGTTTGAAGTAGAATGAGTTGTTTTGACCAAAAATACGCAGGTGTAGAGGCCTCATAAGCGGTTTAGGAAATACGGAGGGAATAGACACTAAAATAAAATTAAAAAACTATTTGTACCTGTATTTTGATGTAAATTTAAAGCGACAATTAATATGTAAAATGAATTTAACATTAATCCCGGGATTCCCAGCCTTGCATATGTATAATATATTTATATGTATAATGTACATAATACGATATCTATAGTATGAATATATAGCAACAATTTCTATATATTCGGCTGTCGCACGGACGAACGGTATAGTACCTATTTTCGAAGCAAATTGACGACGTTAAAGTCCTTAACGTCGGGACCCCAACTATATATCATTCCATGGTAGTGGTGCGGCGATGACGGGGAAATATTATATTAAAATAACGTCCTTTCGAGTAGAAATTTCTGATGTGGAACAATAACGGTAAAGCGATGCGTATAGTATGTGAATAATATGACAGAGCCGACGAAGGTAGGACTGGTGGGTGACTGTAGGATGATGCGATGGTGAGAGGGAGATGAATTGTAGTGTCTTATTAAATTAAATACACGTCTCGCTCTCCTATCCGTTATAATGTACGTATATGCATCGGCCGCGGCTTATCCAAAGGCTGCAGGTATTGTTATACACTATACAGCGTATATGAAGGAGAAAGAGCGAAGCAAAGAAACGTACGGCATCGATGTCACGGGGATGTGGCGGTGGGTGATGTCTGTTGTCTAACGTGGCGTAAAGGGAGAAAACGTTTTCTACATTAATCCCGTTCGCCTTGGATGAATACATTATACACAACGGAAACTCAGTGTGTATGAATGTGTGTGTGTGTGTATTATTTCATCTCTTCGTCTCCCTTCTCTCTCTTTTACTCGCTCTCTTACGCTCGCCCTGTTCTTTTGTTGATGTATTTTAATCTGAACAAGAGAAGCGGTTATATGGGAAATCTGTAGCAGTCACCGGCACCCCGTCACTCCGGTCGCCGTACAGCCTTTTAATATCCCCGGGGAACTCGAGCAACTCCTGGCGCGCGCGCTTCGATTGTTGACAATCCAAATCGGCTCATTGATACGAACCTACACGACCGTAATGATAAAAGGGGCTTAAGGCCCACAAATTGCTCCAAAAGGATCAGATTGTGGTTAGATCGCTTGTTATTTAACGCCCACGCGTATTCGAAAATTCACACAACCTATACGGTTATTGTGACTGCGGCTAAAATGAGTTTAACTCTCTATTTACAATCGCAGTCGTACAATGCGATTTGTACAAGTATATAGATTCTACCTGGATATCAAGACTAAGACTGTATCAAGTAACATATTTTTCTGTACTTCAATGAAAATTATTGAATATGTTTCCCTTCACAAAATTGTGGCTTACTGTACATAAGATTTACATATACAAAAGACCGCATATAGATAATTCTTATAGCTGAACCAAATACCGGGCTTTAGTATAGGTAGACCACTAGACAGTGGTTTGATTGGAAACTTATATATAATAGATCAAATGTTGAATAAACTCCTTACAAACTTTAAAAATACATAAAAATCTAACACACTAAAACTCTTATGTAAGTAAAGTAAATATGATCTGTGTATAGAAAAGGCAAGATTAGTAATCCTGGTATACTGGATTATTTCTCTAAATAATCTAATTGATCCGAAATTGCAGGAATAAAAAAAAATTCATTATTCCGATAATGGATTACAAGCATTCTAGATAAATGATATGCGCGGATTATTATAACTTAGAGCTATTCAACCGCACTTTCCTTCTCAGTTCTCATCTATACCTTTTCATGCAAACAAGTATTTATTTAAAACTAGTTATCGATTAGTCATTATTTTTATTACACTTTTCTTAAAATATAAATCAAATATGTAGGTTCCTATTAAAAATTACCCTTTAAAACTATGTTTTTAAATAAACTAAAAACTAATTTTGATCATCAAATAAATTAAATATTTTACAATTTTTTTTAGTTGAAATTATTATTTTATTGGCAAAATTATTGTAAAGTAAACTTTTGTTTGAAATAACCAGGACTGACCTAAGGATATCTCCCTTTTCTCTGGATTTCCTTTAATACCAAAACAATTTGACTATAGGTTTTTGAGAATTGTATATTAAAGCCTTCCTTTAGCTATAACTTTAGTCTAATTTTAAAACCTTAAGTCTAAAAACTAAACTCGGAAAGTGAAATAGTTTCCATCCCTTTTAGGGGATAGGATTTATGATATTTTTTTTTGTATTGTCGACGTAAATTGATAACATTACTCTGCCCAAAGAATATTCCATACAAATTTGAAACTAATTCGACTATTTTTTTAAAAAAGTTATAGAGTTCCGTAATTTTAAGTTGAAAAATATGTACATTTTTTAGGAGTATTTCTCTATTTTGAAGGTGTAGGTTAGGTAAGGTAGGTAAGGAGATGAACTATTTAAATTGTTGGTCCAATAACACTTGGCAAGTTTCTGAATGAAACATGGCCTTTCTGAATGAGGCATAAAACAGACTTAGCTACAATGTAGATACCACTACTTTGATTGGCTGACCTTTTCGGGAGGGCATGTGAACCTTTTTTCTTTTTTTCTGAGTTATCTCCTTCCTATCGCCAACGTAACTCCTAAGTGAGTACATTTGATAATGATGTTTTATGCTTCATTCCGAAACTGGCCAAGTGTTAAGCAATACAAACAAAAGAGCAGTGTTGCTTATGAAAGTAGGAATGACCTAAAGAATTAGCAGACTTGGCCACAATGTAGATATTACTACTTTGATAGGCTGACTTTTTTGGGAGGGGGTCTAGAACTTGGCCCTTTTTCACTGTTAGGGTTTTGTTGGAGATATTATTCCTTTTTGCTGGCTTCAGCGTCGTGAACGACGTATTCATTTTTTACGAGGCATTGGTGGGGGCATTCACGCGGCCGCCTCGAAGATTTTACTTATTACAATTTTTCTTAGAAAAGCGGCACTTACTATTTTTTATATACTTAGGACGAACGAACGAATTTTTCGACGAAGAATAACAAGGGTATAGAGTATAATATAAACTTAATTAAATAATGATATTATTACGATTATTAAAATATTCAGTATTTGATGAGCGATAAATGCAATAAAATTACGAAAACATTATGTTTGATAAGAATTTACTGTCAATTACGAACAATTGGTTATTACCATATTTAACACCAAAATAGAACGTTTGTTTTGACAGCGCGGGAATCTGTGATTATTTAATAAAAACCCGTGCTATCTAATCAAGCAATATTCATGCGCGTCACATCATCCATTTAGAACTATCTACACTCCCTAAAGCGTTCAAAAAGTTAAAATTGAATAGTTGTTTAATAGCTGTTATAATGCAGCGGCACTGCAAATAGCAATATATTAGAAACTTAATCTTAATACTAAAGGCTTCTTCACCTTTATCCTAATTATTTGTAGTCGGCTACCCTTGTTCTAAACCTCTACTCGACATGATCTCTCACATCATCTTCTTTCTTACTTAAGAAAGAAGCCTCTCAGGCGAAAAGTATTTAATAAATAAACGTTGCATAGATTTATTAAACATTAACCCAAATCTTGCTTTTGTCTCCATTGTATTCAAACAAATGTATTTAGTTCGTAACCATATTACATTATTCTACAGTCTACTGGGTCGTATAATACGAATTGTGTGGATTCCTGCAGTTGACGAAAAACATATACTTATCTATTTTAACGCTTTTCATTACCAAAAATCACTCTAACGTAAAAACCAATTTTACCTCTATCGTTTTAAAACCCCATTGGTCTTGAGTCTTTATTATTTTGTCAAGAGGGAACTGCAGCAAATCATTATTTCTGCTTCTCTACAGCAAGCTTTTACCAAAACTGCACTCGAGAAATAATCGTCATTTGTTTTTAACTTTTTTTTTATACATATAGAAATGTAAAAAAAAAGGTTCACCGTAACACTTGTGGCGGTGATCGTTTACTATACATTCAGACATAAACTGGTGAGAGTTGGGGTACTTTTAAAGGCCTCGTAATCAAACGCACAAGAAGAGGGATGGAATAAAAAACCCTCTCATTTCCCACCATAACCATAAGGTGTTGGAATTAATTCCGTGTTTAATGATTTCGGAAAGCTTTTAACAGAATTCGATTATCACAAACGTATTAAACAAAAAATAATGAAAAATCATCTTTTACAACTGCAATGATAATTTTATATTTATTTTTATTATTAATACAAAACAATTTTATAAACATAAATGTTAGCGAAAATAAATACCTACAACTCTTAACAAATCTACGTTAATTAAATTTAATATAGGTAATTAAAATACACACATCATCTACCAGAATATTTATTATAAAAAATATTTATTTTATCACAAATATCTATTAAATTTATTATACTGAAGTATAATAATAACAATAATACATTTACATAATACTACCCTAACTGGGTAGTATTATTACCTATTACAAATGACGACACTTTAAATTATCGTATTGTTTACATAATTCACACTTCGTAGTAGACATTTAATGTATACAAGACACTAGAAGACAGTAGACACTCATTGTGGTTGCTTTTATCCCGGTCATTATTTCTAGTCAACCAAGTCTCAACAAACAATTACACAGTAATTAGTACAACAAACCCAAGTAATATATTTGATAAAACAAATCCAATAGTAGATTGAATGACTGTTATACATTGACTAACCATGTCCAAATTCGTAATTTAAAAAAGTACAAGTAAAAAAAAAAAAAAATACTATTAACAGATAGCTTATGAACTGAACAAATATAATATAATATACTGGGAAATAAAAAGCACGTTCGTTTTAGTACTTGTGCATTATGTAGGTACGCACGACTGCCCGAGTGTGTATTGTCATAACAATAATAACGATGAAGATAATATAATATAAACGAAAAGGAGCATAAAACGTATATATACACAGTAACACATCGAATAGAAGTTTAAGTACGCGCCGAGACACAGCATACGGTATAGGTACATCATATAATATTAAAATAATATATGTGTGCTTCTGTATTTTATAAAGCGGCTCGGGAAAAAGTAATGTTTGTATACATTTACATGTTTTTTTTTTTTTTGACAGATTTAGTAGAAGTTTATAGTTGTTAAATGTTGGCACGTAAAAATTATTGTTTTCTCTGCCGCGGGACGGGGGTTGGAAGACGGATCACGGTAGGGGGAGGCAAAGGGTAGTCACTGTAAGGGGTGGAAAAGGACGTCCCGGAGGCGGATCTGGGTGTTCAATTTGAAGCGCATTATTCATACACCACGCACGCAAACAGACGGACCTCGATAGTCAACTTTCGTCACCTCATCGCTGTTCTGTCACTGTAGCTGGTTATCTGCTGTGAGATAAAATAATTATATACGATCCCGATCAAGAGAAAATCGTCAAATCTCACTAGACCTTGGTAATTATTTACTTTTTTGTATTATTATTTAATATCACGCTACAGATAAACGATCTATTCGTATAATCGTATTGGTAATTATTTTACATAAATGCTGTTGGCGAGTACAAACTTTTATTGTCAAATTATTATTTAAGAATATATATATATGGCATGTAATAGATAATTTTTATTTTAATAGGATACAAATTAAACTATGAAAAATGCTGCTATAGTTATAATTAATCATGAGTAATAATTTAATCTTAAGCATAATATAATTCACTAACAGCATATTTCATAGTTTTATAATATTATTATAGCACCAAAAACATAAACAGGCACGTAGTCAAGGAGGGCTAAGGTGGGCCTGGCCACCCTTAAATTTACTTTGGCCTAGGGCCCCTCCAAATTTAAAATATAATTATTTTTACTAAGTATCAAAAACGTGCTAGGGCTTATACACATTGAAATAATTCTATTGTGATTACTATTATGTAATACAGTTATTATTATGACTATTTGAATTTTTATATTCATAGAAAACGATGTCTAAAACAACAAAAAAACAATATTTTTTTAACCAATCAAAGGTGAGCTTTTTTTGTGTTTGTACACACTGTAACTTTTTAAAACTGGAGCAATTTCTTTGAGTAGCAACTCTATAAATCAAAAATTGTATCTAGTTGGTACTATGGGAAGGGATGTAAATTGAAAAAGTCCGCTTTTTTCTATTTTAGAATTTGAAAAAAACAACCATACGAATTTTAAACTTTCAACTTTTACTGGCTTTAACTTCGAGAAAAAAGATCAGATCGAGTTGAAATGTATAGGAATATTTATTTGATATGTCTCTATACGTCAATAGTCTTAAATTTAAATTATACCCCCCCCCTCAGGGAGATGCAAGTTTTTTGTGTTTTTAGCCGTAATTTTAGGTCCTTTAAGTTGAAACATCCAAAGGTCTTTTTGTCAAGAGTTAGAACTCTTATGTATCCATAATATAGTAAACGAAGAAAAAATTCGGGAGTCGGGACTATGTTTTTACATTTAAAATGTTTGTTTTCTAAGAAGAATTAAATTATAAACAAAAAAAATTGCGGATTATTTGATCTGCACAAGTAGTTGTCGCTAACTTCCTGAATCTAATTCTAGTTTAACTTTCTGAAATGCTCTATCCGGATCTAAAGCGGCTAGTAGTTTCCTTCCTTTGAGTATATTTATGCCCTATTACACATTTCATAATAATACTTACACTTCTTGAAACATATTAAATCTAATTTTTCATTTTTTATTAGTAGCTCATTTTTCTGTGCTCATATTATTTTTAAAACGAATCTTAAAAGTTATTTGAGTTATTTAAATTTATATGTATGGTAACGCTATTGCTAGATCACTTGTTTCGAACTCCTCAGTGTCTATCATCAATACTGTTTAGGTACTTAAACTTTGTGTAAATGGTTGTGACGTCGTGTAAATCATCGAATTTATTCATCCAAACAAAACGATAATAGAATTCCAATCACTGCACAATACTCTGGGATGGATCGATCAACAAAAGATATAGAACAATAAAATATATAACTATTAAAGATAAAGGACGATTGACTTCTCAATTATTTTACCTAATAAAGTTTAGAACTTTTAAAGATTTGTTTTAGAAACGACCATAACTAAGTGGAAAAACAATAACAAATCAAAGAACTCCGAAATCTTTATTAGACTATATTATTTATTATGTCACTGAATCTATGACCGGAAAATGAATTTGTTTTTAATAAATATGGTAATGTTATATGTTTACATTAATATTACAGAAAACTGGACATTTGGTTCTGAACTTATTGGTATTACTTATTGGTAGCTCTTATCATTTAGGCGGAGTACAATGAAATGTTACTCAACTAATTGACTTAACAAATTAAAAAAAAATCATCAACTTGGCTAGCTTTGTGTAAGAGTTGGGTTTTTCCAACTTATTATTGCGTTCAGAAATTAATTTTTTTAATTCGATATCGTTTTGTAAGGATTCTTCTTCTTTCAAAAACAATTTAAGTTAATATCTACTGAAGTAAGGTCAAACGATAAAATCACAACAGTCACGAATAAAATATTAGTTTTTTTTATGAATCTTTGATTTATTTAACTTCAAAGTCGCTATAGTACATTTTTGGTCAAAGCATATTGTAAACTGAACTACCTTTAAGAGAGTACTTTTGTGAGTTAACGGTCCAATTTACAACATTTTTTGATATTACCAAAAATGAACGATTTTGAAATAATAATTATTATTTTAAATAATTAAAAGTTATTCGTATCAGAATTAATTTTTTTTTATTAATATTGTAACTGTCATTTCTCTGTACAGAATAGTTGCTATATTGTATTATTTTCAAACTATAAGGATTATAGACACTAAAAAGTATGTTTGGAGACTTCACTAGAGAAGCACGGAACAAACGTGAATAATAGACACTTTACTGTAAGTACTTGTGGTTTATTATTACTATTGTTTTGTTTTTCATTTTATTTGATATACCCATTACAATGTAGAAAAGCCCAGACGATTGTAAAAGGCTATACCACGGTGTCAAGTCCATGTTCATGGCGATTATGGTAATTTTACGTTAGCCAAAATCAGAAAACGTCTTTATGTATCCTACAGTAATAAACTCACAGGGCTTTGGTTCTCGTAGTACATAAAGTATCATTTTAATACCTCAGGACAATATTATTATCTACTTGGGCGGAGATTAAATTATTCAAAATTCCGTTAAGCTACACCGATGATCGTCATCAATATTAATAAATATAAATATATATTTTTTGTCTCCCTTTCCCAGTGCGCCGTTTGAAAAATGACGTCATTAATCTCTGCCGATTTCCAACTCCCGTTGAGGGACACCCGTCCAATTTATGTAAATTATACAGCCGGTGCATTTTTGCAACCCCCTCCTCTCTACACCGTGCCAATGACGGTGGGTGGAATAGAAGTGGTTTTTTCTCTTATTCTCTTCTCTCTCTCTTTTTCTCTCACTCTATTGAAACGCTATTGTAATGAAGGTGTCTGGGTTGAAAACACAACGTGGAAATATCGTCTTAATTTATACTGAGCAGATTTTTTTTACCGTCCTTTTTTCAGTTTGCATTTTTTACGCACTAAAGCACTCGAATAATAAGATTTTCCTTTAATATTGAGATATTGAAATTAAAATACGTCAACAGAATGGATAATATTCCATCACCAACTCGTCTTTTACATTTAATAAAAATACAAAGATCATTTATGGTCGTTTAACACTCCAAGGGTACATATTTAAACGAACACAATCACTTTTTTTTATAAAATCCCTGTTGTATATCATAATAACTAAAAGATAATGTAAAAGGTATAAAAATATATTCACACAGCAAACATTAAGAATTAAATTTATAACTAAAAACAATATTCATTATACACAATTCATTATAATTTCACAACATTATGATATAGTTTATAAATCGTTATTTTGTTGTCAGAGTTATTTGAAAAATGTGTCATCTCAAAATCGGCTACAGCAGAATGATATAAAAATCGGAATTACTCAGTACCTATTTAAGAGATAATTTGAAACCAAAATTTTTAATAATAAGGTCACCGAACCAATAACTTTTTAAAGCCGTAGCAACCAGTTTATTTGCAAAACTTTAGCTATGTTGACCTTTTTATTATTCATATTTTATGATTTTACAATTATTGTAATATTTACAAGTTATTCATGTACACATCGTATGCCGTATGGTATTCATTTGTAAAAAAAAAGGAAAAGTTGACGATAACTCATTAGCAACTAATGAGATATTAATCAAAACCGTCTGGTTTCCATTCCAAATTAGAGAAATTAATTATTGTTGTTTTTACGTTACAGTTATTCGAAAAAAAAATATAATATTAATATAAGGGTTTTTTAATGAGAAAAGTTTGAAATAAAAACTGTAATTTGTTATTGTTTTTTTGTGTCATAACAACTTTTTTTACACGTTTTTTATTGATTAAAAAAACAAGTCAGAATACGTTAGATAAAGTATTTTTACACAGCATTTTAATATTTTGTTCGTTAAAACATTTTTTGCGTACATAAAAGAATAAATTACCAATCCAAAAGCGGATTAAGGATTGGTCACGGGAGCTTAATAGTTTTCCCAAAATCACATTTTTGTGATGTAAATTGGTCGTTAATAAGTAATAAAATAGTGTCCGCTTTATTGGTTTAAGCCAAATAATTATATGTACAATATAAATGTTTGATTTTTAGTAGAACTATTGAGATTTCATAGAGGAGCTGAACCAATGGCAGGTAAATAACAAATCATTTGTGGTGAATATGTAAAGTAAATAATTCACTGTTTGTAGTACAAAACTTCCGCAGTCGTAATTTTTGTCTCCATAAGTTTCTACATATATCTCTAGAAATACAAATTCAAACCAATAAAAAGGACGTCTCTGGATAGAAATCTATCGTACCTCCTCGTGCATATTTTCTTCTGCACGAACTACAATATTATGGTCATGTTGTATTTTGTCGACAATAATCTTATAATAATTTCCCTGTCTGTGATGTGTGGTGTACTGGTGCGTAAGGATTTTACAAACTGTAAAAAATATGAGCCCAGCATTGGCGCGGGAAAATCGTCGCACCTTGTCGGAGGGTGAAATAAAGGGAGAAGAACGAACAAAAAAGAAAAGCGGGATAAGTAAAATAAAATATAGTGTTTTCTCAGGTCTCTAGCGTTTTAATTAGTTTGTCGAAGAGGTAGGGGGCATTAAACAACCGGCTTGTAATTAAATCGACAGCGGTGCACGATACGAATCTCAAAGAGTATTAAAGTTTTCATCCCTTTCATAGTAATTAGCATCCACAGAAAGGGTCGAAGAAAAGCGGGTGTAAGATGCGAATCAACGAAGTTTTCAATTCTCCGCCTTATTCTATTTGGCATTAATTTAAAATGTCTTGCCGAGAAATGATTTAAATTTTGTCATCCTTTTATGTATATGTATATTGTATACATTATGTTTGTATAATATATATCTTATAATTTATTCTTACCTGTTGTGAAAACGCAGTCCTATGATAGTCATAACGTTATTAGAGTGTCAGGAGTCTTCACAATAATTTTTAATGAATTATGGAATTATCTTTTTACTAAACAAATGCATTTAAAAAACCAATTACTTTAACTAAATATATATTAATTACGTATAAAAATATTTTATAAGCTAATTAAAATTTTTTTTTTTTTAAATAAATATTCTGTTTGGGTAAATTTATAAAGTATGTACTAGTACTTATGAAAGAAAAGTCGAAATGTTTTATGGGCACTAAGTAAACATCATAATGTAATTTAAATAATATACACAACATTTATCAACAAATAAAAACTGTGTAAATTAATTAATACCTTATGTTTTTTTTACTTGGTAACCATTTACATTGAGCTACCGAGCTACCATGATGCCTCGAAATTGTTGTACATTTTTTATTGTAACTAAGAAAGTATGGATACTTCATCCAACCAATCTAATTTGTTTATAGTGATTTCACATCCACACAAATTTGCTAATCTACTAACGTCACGTTTGACCAATTCTGTCTTTTCGTTCGCTCGCAATCCTTGCACAATAAAATGTTAAAATTTTCACTGTCACACGATCGTGTCTCTGGATATTGTATATGGGGTCAATGGGCCTGCTAATGATAATATAACTATTATTTTAAAAAAAATGTATAATACAAAATATTTATATTTAAATACTTTCTTATACGAAATAATATTATGTTCGAAATTAAATACGAAAGTAATATGCCCTTTAACAAGTTTACACTTAGTAAAATTTGGTAAGTTTTTGTACATTAAAAACAAAATTAAATCTAAAAATTATTAAACTTTACGGTACCCGAGACACTTATGATTGTGGATTAAAGGGCCAAGTATATTAATAATCGTTGAGAAATTGAGCTGTTACTTCCAATAGGAGGGCACTTTGCCTAATTTGGAAACTACATCGGGTTCAATAAGACGGTATTATCTCTGACCAACAACAACCCTCGACAATGCAGGGTGCCATTGTTTGCATCAGGGTAGAATCTATTGTTCATGCGATCTCTTTACTGCTATTCGGCAGTTTGCCATTCCCCAAAGGTTTGCTATCCTTGTTTTCGTTTGTATACTATGGACTTTTTCTACCATTATTTACAATACGGATCCGCGGCCTACTGTAGGCTTGGAGACCCTGGGGTAAACGCTTTTACTTGGACACACTGCACTCCGGAATTGTCGGTGACTTAAGAAAACAATAAGCGTTGTGCAAAGTAGCAGGGCGATAATGAAAACGCATTCTGTAATTATTATTTCTATTCACAAAACACAAACATGACTTTTAGACAAAGAAACGCGGGCTGTAAATTAGAACTACGATAGACAAACGTCTGGTTTAGTAAGTAACTAGATATATAACTTAATATGTTACTCGGAAAACCAAAATATAAGTATCACGTGCGATGAAAATTACCAAGACTGTATTTGTTTTAACACCGGTGGTAGTCAATTGTAAATACATGTAAAAATATCTGAGGACATAGCTGTTTGTTAAATGTATTAAAATGATGAACACTCGTGATATGTATGCCATCTACTATAGCATAGTAGGGAGAACACTAATCGTGGATGCCACAGCGTGAAAGGGTTATAATGCTATTTAACAGTAGCGCGTATATGGCCGTAGGAAATATGGCTGTCAATCTGTGGTAGCTGTGTAGAAATATACATGCATATGTGTGCACGGTAGCAAATATAGAATACAATGAAAATGAGGAAAGCGGAGGGGATTGACACGGTTGTGGTGCAAATTGGGTTCGAATTTCCCATTTGCTCGTGATAATTGAATTATTCTCATCACGACGTAGAATATTATTTCTCATTGTCTGTCCTGTTGTCAACTGTGTATAATATGTATTATCGCGATTCGACCGCACCAGTCCCTGACACGTCTTTTGTTTCCGGGTTCCTCCGGTTTGAAATTGTTGCCAAGTTAAAAATGTATAATGAAAACAAAGAGCAGACACAAAGGCCAACGCCAAAATTACGCTTGTTCGTTTCAATTTTTGTCAAGGCTTTGTAATAAGTTATTACCAGTGTATTACCAAAATTCTTACTAATAAGTAATAACATTTTTCTAAATAGTAATAACACCATACAATTTAAAATACCGATTAAATGGATTTTGCTAAATAATAATACTATAATATTTCCACTTGAATTGAAAATTTGTATTCAAGTGAGAATGATCAATCCAACGGTTTCAACTGGAGGGTTATATGTTAAGTCGGTATATGTTAGAACCCTCTTATAAAAATACCTCCAGCTGTGAGTTAAGTAAAAAAAAAAAACAATAATCGGTATTGAAAAAAATTCTTTAGTGTACGTTTTATAATTAGCACTAATACACAAGGCTAAACAATGAATAAAAGACTTATTTTTTAATTTACAAAATCTAAAATTAATTTTTTAATATTCTATATTGTAAAACTAGACTTTTGAAATTGAAAACGCATCAAACAACGTTTTCGGCATGTAGTGCAGCTCTCTCAGCTCTCTGCATTATCAGATTATGTAGATTTACTCCCAAAGTTCATTAATTTTCATAACTGCTCAAACATTCGGTCAGCAGATTACACTGTCAGGTCTATAATGTAATAATAATACCAACAACAATAACTTCAGGGGTGACCGGAGTTGGATATATGACAGTCGATTCCAAAATAGCGGCCCATTCGAAATGATTGTCAGTAAATGTATTCCTGTTATCATAAATGTAAAGGGTGTTCTCTAACCACCAATGCATACTAGTGTTAGCATATGTGTGAGCCTGCGGGTTGATTGTCGAGGGCGATGATGACTAATGAGTCCTGGTGTTATGGTTAACTTGACGTACATATATTATTACATTCAACGCGTCGTGTAATAATTATAATTTTTTTGGACGCCATGGGACCGAGTACAAAACTAATTTTACTGTTATTCTGTAACATTGGGTTGTAATTTAAACCACAGATAAATCTCTAGAGTGTTCAAAATGTCGTTGACCAGATAACTAATAATAATGATTCAATACAATCGGTTCACAATTGTGAATGTGACATATTATAAACCCCAAAAAAAACTAATGTAGTTTATAACTGCACTTTCAGTTTTAGTTATAGAGCTTGCACTTGATTGTATGTATAAAATGAGTATTGAATAAAAATAATTATTAATTAGGTACTATTGTTTCTTTTTTTTTTAGGAAATGTCGGGTACCATTCGAGAAACGCCAGCAGATTTCAGAAGCAGCGATTTAATAAGCCGTTTATTAGCTGCTACACCTCCATACCAAACAAATTCCACATTTGTACCACCGGGATTTTATTTTAGCGAAATGTTGAAGCGTTTTGTACAAGCGAAAACGTGCACCCCATTGACAGTAAATAAAAGAGGGAGAAAACGAAGCTGGAAAGACAACAGCAAAACTGATCCCTCTCAAGCAGAATCCAAGCAGAGTAAAATAGAATTTACTCCAGTTCCACCTACATCATCCGAACCTCAGTTTCCCGTGTGGTATCCTCATTTTTATCCACCAACTTATCCACCTATGTACTTCAAAACACCGGAAGCAGAACCGTTGAACTTGCAGATGCGTTCGGACCCGATAAAACAAGACAGACATTATTCGGCATTTAGAGTACCGGAACCGTCCAAGGTAGAAGAGCTCGATAAAATCAATAACAGGCAGGGAACGAACTATTTGATGGGAAACTTGACTAAAATTTATAAACAAGTAACCCCGGAAGAGGAAAAAGTGATTGACGTAGAAGGAGACGAGTCGACCGAAACGGAAATTTCTAAACCAGAAGAAGGTGAAAAAAAGGATTGCAAAGATTTGACAGCACTTATCGGTTTAGAGTTAGTCGTAGACTATGTTAAACATGGTAAAAACAAAAGCGAGCAAAATGAGCAAACAGTCAGGTGCTGTCAAAACTCATAATATACTTATTAAATTGTTTACTGCATTAATTGGTAATGATTTATATTTTACAATACCATGTGGTATCTCAAAGATGATTACAATAAAACAATGAACTATACTTACATAGTTCGATTTCAACTATAGGCTATAATATATCATAGCTTACTTAGGTTCTAAGACACGGAAAGACCTGCTTACTAAAAAGAAAGATTTCGTCCCTAAAACTTAAAAGAAATTCATACTAGAAAAATAAAATTAAAAAATAAATTGATTTATTTGTCTATAAATAAGACATATTTTTGCAAATATTTGCAAACAATAATAACATATTTACTCATAACCGAGTTAATTAAAAAAATGTATATTTAGTGTCCTTTTAATCACTAAAATGAGGTAACTCGTTTTAAACAAAAATATTTATATTAATCGTGTGAGGAGGGTGTTTTGTTGTTTTATTCTGTAGTCCTTACTTCTAAAAATATCTAAAATTCTGACTTTCTCGATCTCTTTAAACACTAATATTCATTATGGTTAAATGTATGAACTTTTTGGTTTTATTAGTTAATACAAAGGTGAGAACTATAAAACAAATTTATTAGTTATTAGATTTACATTGCTGCATAAATTATTCGTAGATAAAATAAATTATTGTTCAACATTTGTAAAGTAATTTTTTTTTTAGTTCTCCCAAAAATACATACGAGCATAGTAATAATAAAAAAATGTATCTATATTTCATTAAAGTATAAATACTAAGCATTAGTTAAAAATCCTTATAAAAAATAAACTTAATTTAACAATAAAATATTAAATATCTTGGCAATATAAACCATGCCTACTAAAAAACAATTTTCTTTCTATAAATTAATAATAGTAATATAGAAATAGTATGTATAATTAATATTTATTCAAAATTGTTATTTGTTAAAGGTTGTTATTCATCATACTTCATTAAATTCAAACAACTCAGTTAGTTTCCTTGCTTATAATAGTATGTAACTCATTTTTTAATATATATTATGAGTTTTGCATATAATTCACGTCTCTAGTCATTTTATATTTACCATGATCATATGAACTTGTATAAAACTAATAAGTATTAAATAATATTTAATTAAATAATTTTAAAATATTATAAATTACAATTATTATATTATATTACGTTACCTTGCTTTACCAATATTTTTAAATTAGTTTATTGTTATTACTAGTATTTATGTATACCTTAACTATCCGGATATAAAAAAAAACATTTATGCAAATATTTATACAAGCCACAGTTTAATAGTTTTTATTATTTAGTTCTTTGTTAGACAAAATTAAAATACTAAACATTCATTGATGATTCTGATTATCTTTGTTATAAAGTAATTTATGCTTTTTATTTATATTGTTGTTATTAGTAATAAATATTAACAGTGACGGTTATGTAAAAATTGTCTACTTCACTATTATATAACCTTATTGGACTTTATTGTAAGCATCCCTTTGATTGTGCGAGTATGATAGCCGTCACTGACTATTAAGTTGTATTTTTTCATTACCAGATTAAGTGTTGACCTTTATCATATATAATGGTATTTTATGTAAAATTTAGTAAAATAAAAATAATGCTTTCGCAGGTATTTTATATGTTATATCATTTATAATCAATGTTAATAGTCTTCACGATATAATATATACAGGTTTACCGCTTGTAAATTATACAATTATTAGTAGCTAGTATTTTAGCATAGGCTTTAATTTTGTGAGCTAATGGGAAATTGTACAACAATTTAAATTTGTAAACATAATGTTAAGCTATAAATACACGTTAAAAACTTACATGGGTGATTTTTTAAATAATTATTTCTTCAGTTATTTATTAAAAAAAAATGAAATTAAGTTCTTGTGTTAGCAAGACGAAATTATAAAAATACATTAAAAATAAATAGTGATAAGAAATCTGTTTATTTGATCAAGATGTTTTCTTAGTTTTCGTTAGCAACATATGATTTCAAAATTTGTATACTGTTTATGTTTTTATTTTACAAATATTCTTATTTCTAATATTTTTTTACAAATACTCTAAATATTAATACTTTAAACGTTTGTTAAATTTTGTTATGGAAAAAGTACGTAATTTTAATATTAGTTAGACACTGACGCTCTGGAATCAATTGATATAACATGTTGGCGTTAGTGTTTTAAATTTTTCATTCCACTGTGCTGAAAACATCATTTTATAATATAAAATGGATCAAGAAGGTAAATGAATGAATTACACATAATATGACCGTTCTCAATAGCTTAACTTAAAAAGTTAGTTGACTTAAGTAAAAAAAAAATACTAAAATTATAGACTTATTATACCTAAATGTGAAGCTAAACAGGCGAGAAAAGCCAGTAAAAGTGAATAACAGATTAAATATAACTTTATATGTATATATATTTAGTTTTTATTTTTTATGATGCGGTACTGGATATAGCTGAAAAAAATGTATGTGATTACGGAGGATTGCTTACTTTAGTATAACATACATTAAGAATTAATTTAAATAGTAGCACAATCGTAGAGTTGCTTTCATTATAAATTGGTACTGATAATTTAATTTTAATTTTAATGAAATATGAATATTGAAAATATACATATTATAAAAATATAATTATTAAACATTGAAATAAATAAGAAAATACGATGCAGGCGCGTGGCGGAGTGAGATAAGGCGGCAGTATATATCAACGTACGGTCACCGGTTTGAATGTCGGCTAATGGCGGTTTGTTCCTCTGGGCGGGCAACTGTCTGAGGGAAGAAATGGCCACCTGCGCCTCTCTCCGAGCCTAACTTGTTTGATAGCGTTAAGTAGGCAGCCGTCTATAAGCTCAAAAAATGCCAAATCTAGACCACCTAAACCCCGATCGGTGGGAATAACAGAGGTTAAACGTAAGAGAAAGAAAGAAGTAAATCAGAAAATACCGAATACCTACTATTTGTGTAGTTTATGTCTAAACTGAAGAGTTTTATAGTTAATTTAAGGTTTTTAGATTATTATTTATGGCAGGCATTTTATTCTTAGTAATAAAATATTTTGGTAAGAATATAAGATAATTGATTATAAAATTATGACTAAGACGTTTAATGTTTGTCACACATAAAATACTTTAGAGAACTCTATACCACCTATTTATTAGGAGTTAAATATAGACAATTATACGAACGATCCTAAATCAAAGTTAAAACTAGTTTTATTTTTACCGTAAACATGTTTTTTTATTGGTAGTTAATTTTGTCTCTGTCTATCACAGCGTCCATCAAAAACGTTTTTTTAATATTTTTTTTTGTCAAAACATACATAGCTATTAGTTAAGTAGATTGCGTTTTACTCGGACTTCTTGATAGTTTTTTCTCCCCACCCCAAAATACTACGTCACCACTGTGCTGGATTTTTTAGGTTGTCTACAAGTAGCTTTTTGTTAGTTTTCTACAATTAAAAAACGTGTTTGGTTTTCGATAATAAATTACTCCATAATACATTTTATATCGCTAATCGCATTGTATACAGGGCGCTAGGCGATACACAAACTAACATATCGGTACACAACTAATACATCAGCAAAGACTAAGGAAATACGGAAAAATTAATCTACAACTGAGTTTTCTATTTTGTACAATTATTATTTCTTTCACGATTTCTACATTAGCGTATTCAATTTTTACATAAAGTTTTACAATGAACGCATTTTACAATTTAGGCGGCAGGTGTTAAACAATGTTAATGTGTTGTTTTGTATTTATATACATGCCGTAATGACTACATTATATGTTTTATACATAAAATGTTTTTAATTTGAAAAATAATTATAATTAAAAAATTGGTTATTAACGAGTCATTTAACTCTTTAAGTGGAACATTTTTATTTGAATAGAATAATGCGAGTAAATGTATTGTAGTTTAAAATAATTCAAAAAGTGATTGCAATATTATCTGTTAAAGAGGATATTTATAAAATATTATTATAATAGATTCAGGCCACTTTATCGGAACATCCAGCTGGTACAATGTGTCCCGAAAGTCCCGCTTCAATCGCTATACTTAACAATTAAAATATACATTATAATTTAAAGTTATGTTTATTATTTATTCAATTTGAATACGTTCGTTCTCACGCTTGCTTCACCTGACGTTACATAACATCACAAGTCTATGTAAGTATTTACAATAGTTTAGGCGTTACGAGACTTTTGGAACGTGCCGTATAGCATTCCAGTGACAATATAATAATATGATGTTGTACGCGGGATTTTCTGTTGTAAATTAAAAATACCGCGGCAAACAACAACACCACTAGTCGCATCGCCGTGCACGACGTGAAATATCGAGCACGTGCAGCACTTGACTAATTTATTGTTTATTATAAGTCTGATCGCGGATACCAAGGTGTTTTTATTATTATTATAATTATTGTAATTATTACTGCAAAGTAACCGACAAGGTACACGGCGGATTGAGTGCGGAAACATCATTTGAATTCGACATGGCCGACAGATCGTACTATAACGGCAACAACGGCAGAGTGGGCAATAGCGGAGGCGGCGATGACTTTGGCTGGCCGGATGCGAACACGACGGCGAGGGTTCGTCGACCTGGCAAGAAATTTGCGACTGTTCGGTCCAAGTATAGCAGGCAAGACGTCCTACAACGGCCGAACAACATGTGTTACGAGCTTCGGCAACCGGACAGCAACGAAAACGGCGACGTTGTCCAATGGGAAACCATGACCAAACATTTTGCCAGGTAACAACTACTCTAATAGTATAAAAATATATATTATATTCTGGAAAAATAAACGGCACTTCATTATCGAGGACGGAGAGGGCTGACAGATTGAAATTGGCCATCCCAAACGGTGATTTAAGGTGATTAAGGGTTGATCGAGGGACAAGACTCGGCCTAAAATTTCTATGAGTTTGTGTACGTGCACATTTCAATGTTTAATGCGATGATTAAAAGACCTTGATTCTTTAGATACACTCCCATCTACATGGGGTCGGCCAAGAACTTGATTTTATATAATAATAATAATAATATCATACGTAAAATATATATACATTATAAATACGTTTCTTCAGAGTTGATAAAAGTTTAAAAAACTTGCATATGCGCAGGGGCGGATAGGCATGATCTGACCAGCCCGGGCAAAATAGAATCTAAATGCCCGCAAGATTATATCCAAGATCCAACAAAACCTCTTTTTTTTTTTTGTTAAGACAAAATATAAATTATGATGTTACTATATCGCTATGTTACTATATAGTGGTATTATTATATTATTTTACTATACCACTATACTAGTGGCGCACTTTGAAATCGAATTATCAAATTTTTTTTCGAAAAAATATTCCAACAGATCACTTAATTGACAATTATTTATAATTGTAGATTTAAATATAAATTTTAGTATTATTGTATTTATTAACTATTTTATTTGTATGTATGTACATTGACATATTGACAATATCGTCAATAACAATATTTTTCATCGGCCATCTTCGTCAATATAAGTAGCGGCCCACCGGGAAAATCCCGGTGTCCCGGTGGGCCTATCCGCCCCTGCATATACGGAGTAATGGAACGTGCAGGGTATGCCCGATGCCGATGTATTGCCAATCACAAGAACTCTGTGATACAGGGCTCATCCCGGCCCGAACGCTTAAAGAAAACAATTTAAGCTAAAAACATATTTTAAGGGGTAGAACATTGGTTTTAGTTTTTAAAAATCCGATACAACTTAATTGGCTTAATTCGACCATACCCTCATTAATAAATATTTTTTAAATGGAAAACCCAAATTAAATTCTACTTTTCTGAATCCGGCCCGGCCCGAACCCACGTCGAACAATTACGGACCGGCCCAGTTAAATTCCAACAGTAACACAATGCAATACAAAGTAATAAAGTTAACTAAAAATATGGCTTTAATGGGTACCTCGGGTAATAGTTTAAAATTGAGCTGACGAGCTAATGAAAATAATTCTAATTGTATAACTACATATTTTTTAAGTAGATAATGTCTAAATTAAGAATAAGTAATATACTAAGTGTTATTGGTGCATAAAAATATAATTCTTTTGAAATGTACTAATACATATTTGTATTGATTGTCCTGAGTTAGATGTACAGTGGGTAAAAAAAGTCTCCGTACACTGTTGTCAATTTTTTTCAAAAACATAAAATGATAATTTAAAAGTTGATTAACTTCATATTTTTAACACACATTTATTCAGAAACATATTAATATTTGTTTTTAGAAAAATAGAGCATATATATTAATTAGTTTATTTTATACATGTATATATATACATCAACTTTGGAAAATAACAGCAAAAAAAATCTCCGTACAAAATAACATAAATATTTTTAACATGATATATTGTAATAATTATCGTTATTAATGGTCAGTTGGCCCTCCTCTAGCTATAACAACTTCGTGCATTCGTTTTCCCATTAATTCTACTAATTTTGTCGTAACAGTAGAATCAATACTGTTCCATACTTCTAGTATTGCATTTTTTAATTGTTCTTTGTTTCGAGTTTGGTAATTTTTAAGACGTCTACCTATTTCCTCCCATAAATGTTCTATAGGGTTCATGTCTGGTGATTGTGGAGGTGTGTTAAGTTGTTTTGGTACTCGGTATAACAACCATTCTTTAACTTTTTTCGCGGTATGTTTTGGGTCGTTATCTTGTTGGAATATAAACGAATTGCCAATATTTAGTTTTTCAGCACTTGCATGTAAGTTATTTCTCAAAATGTTTAAATAAACATGTTGATCCATAATACCATCGATAAATACCAAATTACCAACACCTGCAGCGCTCATACAACCCCAAACTAGTACATTACCGCCCCCATGCTTTACCGTTGGGCATAAATTTTTGCAATCCATCTGCTTATTAGGTTTTCTCCACACCATAACTCGCCCATCTGAACCAAAAATATTAAACTTGCTTTCGTCACTAAATAATACAGATTTCCAAAAATCATTTCCCTTATGAATGTGTGCCTTCGCAAAATCTAAACGTTTCCTTTTATTTTTTTGACTGATAAAGGGTTTTTTCCTAGCTACACAACCTTTATATCCTGCGTTTCTAATAACATTACGAATGGTCTGAGGCACAACTTTCACATTATAGTCAGTATTAATCATACCAGCCAGTTTAGGTGCACTGGTTTTTGGTTCCGTCACAATTGTCCTTAGAATGGCCCTCTTTTGGTGTGATTTCAATTTTTGAGGACGACCAGTACGTTTTCGATCTTCAAAAGAATCAGTTTCGTTGTATCGGTTTATAATATATTGTACAGTCGAGTGCGATTTATTTATTGTTTGTGCAATATTTCTGAGAGAATTACCATCTTCTCTTAGTTTAACTACTAATTTACGAATAGCAATTGGTATCTCCATTGTTCAATGTATATGAATTGAATAAAACGGACTAAGCGTATGTCTATCGTTCTTAATGGCTACAAAAACAATAATAACATGCTCGTTGATATGTAGAACTCTCAGTCCATACGGGTTTTCCCTATTCCGGTACTATTTTTATCTGTTATTCATACACATCAATAAATGTACGGAGACTTTTTTGCTGTTATTTTCCAAAGTTGTTGTACATATATACATGTATAAAATAAACTAATTAATATATATGCTCTATTTTTCTAAAAACAAATATTAATATGTTTCTGAATAAAAGTGTGTTAAAAATATGAAGTTAATCAACTTTTAAATTATCATTTTATGTTTTTGAAAAAATTTGACAACAGTGTACGGAGACTTTTTTTACCCACTGTAATTCAGATTCAGTTCAATCCAGTATTTATCCATCAGTGCTCGAATTGGAAAAGTAAAAGTAGGGGGACTTTTTTATTTAAAAAAAAAGAGAGCATACCCGGTTTTTTATTAACAATAATAACATTATTATCACGAGCTTATTTAAGACTCTATTAGTTATATCAAATCGGTAATAAGTTATCTGAAATCTGAATTATAGTATTATAGGTAGTAGCGTATCTAGGATATTTACACTGGAGGGGATATACAGATTATAACACACCTATTCAATATAAATATATATATTCATATTATTATATACATATTGCATGCATGTAAACAAAAATTTGGATTCTCAACTACAAAACAAAGTCTAGTTTTCTTAAGGACAGTGAAAGAATACTTCGACAGGTGTGAGTGTTATATTTGTGTGTACTGATAGGGCCCCCGGGGTAGGGTATAACCCCCCCCCCCCGTAAATACGCCACTGATTATAGGAATACATATGGTTATTTAGTTTAAATTTAAAAAATAAAATAATATATGTAATACTACTATTATAGATACTAGTTATACATTATTATTTTATACGTTTATTCATTATTGTATAAATAATAATATGTTAAACATTTTATAATCGATGGCATAGTATTTAGGTGTCTTAAGTGCATATTTTTAAGAAATTGAACTTTGTAAAGGTACCTAACGATTGCCTCTTAGTTCCTACCCATTGTATACAAATAGTAGTAACCAGTAATTTCAAATATTTTAATTACGATGTTTAGGTACCATTGGGGTATTCAGTACAATTTAAAAATTTTAAAACTCCGAGTTATCCTTGATAGTTTTTTAGAAAAAAAAATAGAATTTAGAATTTTTTTTGATATATTTTATAATAAATTTAAATAATCTTATATACTGTTATTATTTTTTTAGCAGGCTTCCAACATTTCTAAACGATCAAGTTGACAATTTCAAAAATGGTTACACTCAGACACCTATAACAAAAATACCTGAAAATCATCATTTACAGTACTACAGTGATTTACACAAATTACACCAAGTGGCCTATGTAAGTTGAATAACTTATTCGAAATTACCCCAAGTTTACGACGTATAACACTTTTTTATGAACAGTTCAAAAAGTGTTTAGATGCAAATTTGAAGATGGTAAAATATTAATTTTAATGGCAACATTATAGTTAAAATTGTAGTAGAGTGGGTACGATTAGTCTAATTTTTTTTTAAGCCTTAAAACTATACCGAAATAAAATAAAAATGTTTATCCCTTCTGGAGGAAAGAGTTAATAGTATTATATGGTTCTGTATCTAAAAAATATTCCATACAAGTTTGGAATAATTACACTATTTAGTTTACTTAAACATTTTATTGAGTACCATAATTTTAAAATGAACATAGGGTGTACATTTGTAGGATGTTCTTCTCGATTTTGAAGGGGAAAGGTTAAACTTTTTAAATTTTTGTCTTGATAAGATAAATTTTAGACAACATTTTTTATCTATACACTTAATACATGAAGAAATCTTTTTAGCGGTTTAGAAGATATTGTGGGTCTAGATAAAAAAAAATACATTGTAAAAATAATTTAGCTACGTATCGAAACTAAAATTAGGTATGTTACGATCCGGAATTGGAAACGTTACCATAACCCAAAATATATTTAATTATTACTAAAACTAATGTTTATATACATGATCCATATTATGATAATCTGCATTTTATTAAATAATAGTTTGATATTTTTAATTAGTAGAAGAAAATAATATTTATACCAGGAAAATAATATTTATGATTTTTTAAATGTTTAATAGTCACTAAAGAAAACAAAATTCAATAATATACATCGTATTTTGCAGCGTTATTTTTTTCGAAACTAACGTGGAATAAATATAAGTTTATTGATTCAATTTAAGAACACTTTTCATACATTAAAATTAATTGTATACAAATCTAAAATATCTTTACTTAGGCCACAAGAAATACTAGAAAACCATCGTGTTGTAAACAATGGAAATGGAGTCCGTTTTCAGGAGAACTTGGGAGCTATGATAATGCTTATTACTTATCGGATCCAAGAAGATATGCCGCACATGCAAAAAAAATAATAATTGAGGATTCACGAGTAATCATAGATGAAGAAGACAAAGTAAGACAAGCATAATATTTTGTATACAATTTAAACAAATATATTTAATGATTGATATGTAATTTGATAATGATATTGAGTATTAATTCATGAGCTAGGATGTAAAAGGCGTTAGCTATAAAGCTAGTGTTGTATTTAAATTCTGAGTTAAAAAATTAATAAAGTGAGGTCAGAGCATTGTGGGAATAGAGCATATTCGGGGCGGGGAGGTCACAGGTCTGCAGTAATTAATTATAAATAAAAATTATAAAATAACTTTCAAATAAACGTTTCAAAGTGAATCTGTAGATGATAGAAGTACAAAATATATAAATCATTATAGTTACAATAAAAAAATATAAATTCAGGTAAAAAAAATAATTTTTATAGAAGTAATTTTCTGGTGTACTTATTTGACGGATTTCAGTGTTTAATGTGTAACTTACTATTTCTTCTATGGGGGCTAAAAAGCCGATTTTGTTAGCTAGATTTATTATAAAAAACTATAAAAAATTAAAACTATAAACGCTTATAATAAAATGAAACAAAAAAACAAAATTGAAAAATCGGCCTTTTAGCTCCCATAGATAATATTATGTTAAACTACGTAAAAAAAAAAATTGGAAATCGGTTCTGTAGGTACTTTAGAAAGTGACTGTGCATTTTAGTCTTTCATCATCATCATCATGTAGCTTAACGGGCCATGAAGGCCCATCATGAGATGGTTTCTTGACGAATAGCGTATCCGGGACGGGTCGTCAATCCGTTGCCGGAGAGGGGGATGGCGGTTCCTTTACACGGGACGATTGCTCGCCCGGCAAACGGAGCGCCCGTGACCGAGTGTCGAACCGGCGACAGTGAGCGCTAACACACTGCCGCCTTACCCTCTCGGCCACTTCTCTACATAGCGTATTTTAGTCTTTACTTGTATACAATTTGGAGCTTTCCGTTCCCCTTAACGAGTTACGTTTCCATCTCTACGTTGTTCAATGGGACCTTTAGTAGCCGATTTGTTATACTTTGGACCATGGACCAAAATAATCAAGTTATTATTAAAATTTGGTTATGAATTTCAGTTGTCGTTATCCGTCTGGAAGAAATACATGGAAAACCGACAGTCCGAGTCAGTGTTCAGCATGAAAATGGCAATGTGGAGTCGTCTGTCGAGTTTAATAAAAACCAGGGCAATCAAGTGCGGCCTCTATCTTGTAGGTTCAACGATGAACGGCTTTGGAGGCGATGTAAGCGATGCTGATTTCTGTCTGTTGACCGACTGCACGGCCTTGTCTCCATCACCACCTGATGACCACAGTGGCTTAGGGGTTAACGACGGCCGTGCATGTGGAATAGAACGACTCCAGTGGCTCATGAGTGTCCTTCAACAAGAACGAGTCAAGGGCTATTTCAATGTCACCGAAATGTGTATCGTTTACGCCAAGGTGCCTATCCTGCGATTCAATTGGAATGACAACGGTCGAGTTGACGTAGACCTGTGCTGTAACAATGTGGTGGGAATCAGGAACACGCATCTCCTGTACTGCTATTCTAAAAGTGAGTGATAAAAATAAAGATTATGAGTTTTTTTCTATAAAACTGAAAATAGAGAAAATGTTATCCTAGTTAAAAATTTACTTATTTCAAATTAGCTTTTATGCGAGAGAATGGTGGACTTAAAAAGTATGTAGCTTTGGCACTGGATGAGGTAACATGTATGTCTGTTTATAAGAAAGCCAACATTCTTATGAGAGATCATTTTTTTTTGTTTAAAAAATGTCAATAATTTTTTTAATTTAAGATTGTATATAATACTATATTACAATAATCACTGTATTAATAATAATTGTCGTAGATTTTTACAATATTTATTCGAACATTATTTACATTGTTGCAGTGGATATTCGGGTCAGACCTTTAGTATTAACCATTAAACTTTGGGCGTCCAGACATAACATCAACGACCCGAAAAATATGACACTGTCCAGTTATTCTTTAGTACTGATGGTCATTAATTTTTTACAATGTAAGGAGAACGCCTCTTCCGCATGACGGATAAACTAAACTTACGGCGGAAGTCTAGTTCATCCGTTTATGATGTAAGTTTTACCGCTGCTGGTTTTATTTATATTTTTAGGTATTCATCCGCCCGTTTTGCCATCACTGCAGCGTATCTATAAAAACAAGTTCTGCGTGGACGCAGACATCAGCTATGTTCATATGCACGAACAGTTGCCCAATGGATGGACCAGCGAAAATAAACAAAGCCTCGGGGAATTACTGTTGAAGTTTTTCGAGTACTATAATGAATTCAAGTATGCGAATTAAGAAATTGACGGTTTCGTGTGTTATTTAAAAGTGTTCGATTCCATTTCAGTTATTACAAATACGCGGTATCCGTGAGGACAGGAAGGCCTTTGCCACTGGAACACTGCCGTATGGCCGAGACGACAAAAAACGATCCTGGACAGTGGAAGTTCATAGGAATTGAAGGTACGCAGATATTATTAGTATTTGTACAACTATACCGATTTGATTTTTGATGAAACATTAAACAATAAAAATATATATATTATATTTACTAAAGTAGTATAAAAAATATTTTATAAAATATTATATATTATATTTACTATAGACGGATAAACGTATTTGAAATTAGATCTAGATCTATTGTAATGAAAAAATAATACAACAAAAACCTTACTCTGGAATTAAACCTAGGTACAATTTGTATTTACTATAACCGAGATTTTTTAAGCGTTGCCTTACCAGTTATATCTATCAGTATAATTAGTTATTAGTATATCAGTTAGATATATTAGTTATCAGTATGTTAGTAAAGATACAAAATCTACTTGAACCCTAAAGCATAAAAATTATACACTTCTTGCGTACACGTGTTACGACAACGATGTTGTCATCTTCAGTGCTAACAACAGACTCGTAACACGTGTACGCAAGAAGTGTATAATTTTTATGGTTTAGGGTTCAAGTAGATTTTATATCTTTACTATATATTTAACCATAAGTTTGCTTAACAGTTTTTTCTAGATCAGTATGTTAATTTAACACTGATTTTCCAAAACTGTATAATTTTTAAAAAGTATGATTTTTTAGGGATGCATTTACATTTTTAATTACAAATATAGTCTTATCTTTTGATTCGCGTAGATCGAACAATAGTTTTGAAAACAGATATACATTTTTTAATACCTACCTGAAAAAAAACTTTAAAAATTGAAATGTTTGACAAACTAAAAATAGTTTTAAAATTGTGCCTCGATCGATACCTTATATAAGTTTTATGAAGAAATATAGTTAAACGTTTATATTTTAAATTATATTAAATAATGTATTATATATTTTTTATAATATTGTACCTATTAAGTATTTTGATCTGAAAATAATTAAAATGCATTTTTATTATAAATTCCAGAACCTTTTGAGCGGACCAACACGGCTCGTTCAGTATACAATCACGAGCTTTTCACTTACATTAAACATGTCATAAGCAAAAGTTATGAAAGATTGAATAATACGGGATCTTTAAACTCAATATTCAACGATATAGAAAATATAACAAATAAACAATATGTTTAACAAAACAGAAAAACAAATTACTAGGAGAAAACTTATACAAATGAGACGAGAAAACTTTGTGTGATTTCTGGACATTTGAACATAATATCATATATTTATACATGTGTGTGTATTTTATAAGTTTATTTATTTTGTTGAAGCAAAATTCGATAGACTGTAAAAAAAAGATAAAAGTTCTAAAAAAAAAAAAAATAATAAAAAAAAATTATTTGCGAATATATTATATTGTATAATAATTATTATGAACAATTTATTAGATATATTAATATTTATAGAATTAAGTTTTAGTAGTTGTTGTTATTGAATTTATGTTTCAAAAATAATAATCATGTGGACACCAGATAAATAATTTGTTTTAATCGTTATCAATATCTATTTTTGCTTACGAACGTTTGATTTATATTCGTAGATGCTGGTGGATGCGTGCTCGTCACAAAATATATTGACAGCAAAAAACTGTACATTAAATTATAATTTATCATTGTGTTGACTATGTTTTGTACCATATTCTGAATTATATACCTACGTACAATTTCTAAACATAATTATATATATTTATTATACTGTGCTCCCTGTTTCTTTAACCATCTCCACAAAATCATCCAATGGAAAATACTTTTCAAAAGTTTAAATAATAATATAAAATAAATATTTATTCAAAATAGTTAATTAATGATAATTAATTATTTGAAACAATAAATATACAATTTTTTAAAAATAAATTGTATTTGCTCCGACGCAGAGTAGAGAGAAGGTATTGTTTTTACAATGATGTGTTTTTATTTTTATGTGTCTGGTTAGGTTCTTTCGATATATTTTAAACAGCTTAACCGATTTCTTCGTGTAGCATCTCTAAAGATAAGAAATCGTACTGAAAACTACATACTTTATTTGACCAGAAATTAAAAAAATTCACCTCCTTCCCATCAAAATCGAGAAAAAAACTCAACAAATTTATATATTTTTTGCAAGTAATCGTACTCTATACAACGACCTCAATATTCCTTTTCTCTGGGTTAGGTTACTCACTATAAAAAATTCCACTCCAATACTGTAAATCACTCGAATCCACTAATATCTAATCTTTCTTCTATTTCTCTTTCAGATAATCCTCCTTGACAGTTAAAACGAAATTGGTCACGCGACCTCTTAAAAATTAAATAAAAACAGTAAACTTATCAATTATGTAATAATTTATTCAATTCTTATGTAGAGGAACACGTGGCAATACGGGCACCTTAAGAAAAATAATCATATATGCAACTATAGACCCACATTTTAGGGGGTGCTAAAACTATATATACCTGACTAATCATAAGTCTTACCTTCAATTTTCATACTATTTGATATAATATAAAACATTTGAAAACAAAAATATTCAAAAAATGAAAGGGTGTAACTCACAGCTATGGAAGGACCCGAAGGAAAGCTTACCACCCGGAAGTCATCTACCATTGTCGTCATGGAAGACACTAAATAGATTACGAACCGAAACTGGAAGGACTGCGAGTAATACGAAAAAAATGGGGAATAAAAGGATGGAAAATGCGAATGCGGTGGGGAGAAGCATGCAGACCATCTGTTTGCATGCCCACTACTACCGGTTAAGTGCAAAAAGGAATACTTTTTGACAAACGAATTTTCAGATAAGGCAATACAAATCGCTGCTTATTAGGAAGGGAAGGGAATATGAAGACCGACACGTCAAGGAGAAGATTAGGTACAATGTTTTTATCGATATTTTTATTTTATGTATAGTTATTCTCCATACAAATGTATTTTAAATGGCTCATGATTTACAAATTATTATTTGTTACTTATTAAAAAAATAATAATGATAAGGTTTTCTATTGAGACTACGAGTATTGGAAATTCTGTTGATATCTGATTACATAACGTTTCATCTTAATGTATCACAAATTCGTAAGGTTACGCTTTAAACATTTGGTTTATACTAGCAATATTATATATTATGAAGATGCATAAAATTACTGATGATTAAAATAATACAAGCAGAAAAAATATTTACAGTTTAATAGTCATATTATTCACATTTATTATAGTGACGACTACATTCAATATTTTAAAGGTAATATCAGTTTTATTTTACTATACGATACCATGCGTTTAAAAAATATTATTCATACAGTTTATTTAATTTTAAAATGTTTTAGCAGGCACCATCGTCTAATGTAGTTTGTTAAAATACTAAGTAGTTTTTTTACCGATTCCAAGAATGAAGTCCTTCAGTTTATACATGTATAAATCGTTATTAACTATTATACTTCTATGTTTATCACAATAATTTACTTAACAAAAACTGACTTCAAAAACATTATTTTAAATATGCGATTTAATGTAGATATATTATAATTTTTTGCGCTTATCGAGTGTGTAAATAAAGAAATTAATTTTGTATAAGTCTGCGAGATAAATGTAAACAATATAATATTTTGTTATTAAATAAATGGTTATAAAAGACCCCTTAATTGCAATCATATAGGCAGCGTATGCCTCTTTTTATTACCTTGTTATCTATTATCATTATTCATGATGCGATAAAATGATAATGATATCTTCTAGGAACATTTCATAAATTCATACATTATATATTTCATTTTGAACAATTTATCGTTTAATAATTAAAATTCAGCTATCTTTGTCGTATATAATTTTTACATTGTTTTCTATACTAACGAAACACTTCCTGAAATATATTTAGGTTTTTGGAATGCATACAAGAATATCAATAGTTCTCTTTTATTAAAAGTACAGTTTGTTTAAACGTTTGAAAAATTTGAAAAAAAAATGTTGACCAAAGATGAAACAGATTATTTGTTAAAATTCGAATGGTTACAAAAATGTGCTCCAGCCTACGCCGTTAAAGCAGAAAATGTAAGAAGCATGATATTAAAATATGGTTAATTAAGAATTAGTCTAGGTTTGTTAGAAATATTAAATAATATTTCTTTTATGAAGGTTAAATCACTCAAGAATCCATCGGAGTTTTATCAGACCCTCTTAGAACAATGTAGTATAGCAAAACGTCGTATTATAATTGCGTCTTTGTACTTGGGTACTGGCAACCTGGAAGCAGATTTGGTAAGGAAAACTATTCATGTTTATATTTTATGAAAATATATAATTGTATTTATTTTAGGTAGATAAAATAAAAGAAGCATTAGATAAAAGCCCAGAATTAAATGTCAGAATTTTGTTAGATGCTAACCGGGGCTCACGGGGAAAAACCAATTCTTCACGCACTATGTTGATACCTGTGCTGAAGTCTTCATATAATTGCTGTGTAGGTAATTATTAGCAAGTATTAAGTAATTTCATTATATTTTTAATAATACTTTTATTCATATACATTAGGTATACTTATATCACACACCAAAACTCAGAGGAATACTTCGGTGGCTTTTACCTGACAGATACAACGAATTAGTAGGAATACAACATATGAAATTATATATTTTTGATGATTCTGTTCTTATCAGTGGAGCAAATTTAAGCCATGACTATTTTACAAACAGGTACTTATAACATTAACAATCGAAAATTTAAGATCACTTGTTTATTCATTATGTATTCTATTATCAATATTTAATTATTCAGGCAAGATAGGTATATATTTATTGAGGATTGTAAACCATTGGTTGATTTTTACACTGGATTAATAGAATTACTAGGTAGTATGTCATTTCAATTAACGCCTGAAAATACACTTAATATAGACCCGTCTTGGAAATATCATCCGTATAAAAGTCCGTACAAAAGTTATGCAATGGAAGCAAAAAAACAGCTGATACATTACTATAATTCTCATGTAAACAGTCTAGACATTGACAAAAGTAAGTATATTGATAATGATTGACGTTAAATAAGTTTTGATAAATATGTTATGTGTAATGGTTATAGATTCAGACACAATAGTCTATCCGTTAGTAGAATTTCCGCCATTCGAGATACACAACGACAGTGAGATAACCAGCAAACTCTTAGAAAACGCAGAAGCAGAATCAACTTTTAATTTAGCTACTGGTTATTTTAATTTACCAGATGTTTACACAAACACCATATTTAAAAAATCATTAGCCAATTTTAATGTATTATTTTCTCATCCGTTGGCCAACTCATTTCATACAGCAAAAGGACCTGCAAGTTTTATACCCACTGCGTACAGTTGTCTTACTAATAATTTCTACGACCAAATCAAAAAGTTTAACGTACAAAATCGTATTATATGCTTTGAATATCAAAGGACAGGATGGACATTTCATTCTAAAGGCCTATGGTACACTCCAAAAAACTATAAATGGCCTATATTCACTGTGGTCGGTTCTTCAAACTATGGTATGTCATATTGTATGATAAAGTTAAAAAAGAGACTATTTTACACTGCAAATTACCAAGTTGTATTTAACATTTTATTTTCAGGAGCCAGATCATTGAATTGTGATTTAGAATCACAATTAGTAATTGTAACTGACAACAAAAACCTACAAAACAAATTTCATACAGAAAAATTTGATATATTTAAATCGACTGCACTATATTCTCCTGATAGTGAGAAACTAATTGCCCCTTTATGGGTTCGATTTGTGTTAAAAGTGTTTAAAAATTATTTTTAATTTGTGCTGCAAGTGTGATAGCATATATATCTAGTCAACTTGTATCAAATTTGAACTGTTTTTTTTTTTATTGTCACGGGTTTATTAAACAATTTGTTTTGGATTTTTTCTGAAAAGGATAGATAAATACCGGTCTTCTAGTGCCCATTAAGAAAAACAATTATACTTGTATAAATAAAAACATTTTAGGTTAAGAGTATTATGAAATATTTGTACAGAACATGTTAAAGTATAATTTATCTATTAAATAGTCAATAATTTTATCTTTCAATATTTTGTATTTTATTGTTGAGTATATTGTAATAGTTGACTGTCAAATATATTTGAAGAATTTTGACTGGAATTATATATACTAGATTTGTTTTTATTGTACTACAAAATAAAAATAGTTTTTTAGTTCAAATCGGTCTGATGTAAAAAGAACAGATATAAATACTTCACAGTATACATCAACTTTTACCAATGAACTACATTTATGATATCTACCATTGCTAACTTCAATAATTATCAAACATTTTAATCAATTTTTAGTCATCTTGGAGGTGTTAATATGTGAAAACGCCATACATTTATAATACCTTTTTTTGGGCTATTAACACTTATTTTTAAATGTATTACAGTACTGTTAATGCCATGTGATTTCTCCCATATTTCTCAATAATAAAGTTTTTTTTTTTATTATAAATGTGTAATTGTTTGCTTAATAATAATATTTTGTTATAGCGCATAAAATATTTTATGGTCATTTGCATTAACTGTTCTTAAGATATGAGTTTCTATAGTTTCCTTATTGACTTTTGTTAAACTACCTAATAGAATTAAGTATAGTTGGTTTAAATGATCATAAGTATTTAAATAAAAAGGAGGAGTTGAAGTTTGCATAGCTATTCCTTTCCTTACTAGAAACTTTATTAGAAGCTTAGAAAGTGTTAGCATTAGTTTTATATAATAATTGTTAATAGTTTAATTATTTTTAAAAATATGTTTTTTTGTATTATATAGGTAATTTCTTGTTTGGTGTTAAGTTTTATTCGAAGATATCTTTTTATAGGTTGTGAAACATCAACCTGTACTACTTTGAAATGCAAATATCTCTATAAAAATGTATCAAAACAAATTTTATCATCTTCAGTTACCGCCAAACAAGTTGATAACTAATTCTTTTTATTTCTTATTAGTTTTTAACCTACAAATTACACAGTATGAATCATAGGTCAAGATGTTATGTATAAATACCCCTATGGTTCTTTTCAAGGATTTAATTTTCTTGAGAATTTGTTTCTTTTTTTACATAATACAAAGGCCATAATATTAAAACAACATTTGATTTTTACTATTGTAACACTACATACAGGGTGTTCCAGCATGACAGGTAAGTAATAGGAGATTCGACATCTGGGGACCACCAAATAAGCCCCCTGTTTTTATTTTTTCGATAAGTCAAAAATTAAAGGTTTTGACAGTTAAGGATGTGACCCCTTTCTTAAGGTGAGCTTTTTGCACTGAATAACGGAATAATTTTGTTTTTTAAGTCATTATTTTTTTACTTAACTGTCGAAACCTTCAATTTTTGACTTATCGAAAAAATGAAAACGGGGCTTATTTAGGGGTCCCCTAGATATCGAATCACCTATTACTTACCTTTCATGCTGGAACACCCTGCGTATAATATGGTTGAGTGTAGTTATCGTAACAATTTATTAATGATAATTTTTAATTTTTGATACAGATTATGTATCACACACCACTAGTAGCATTTTTGACAAAGAAACACATGCGTCTCATATCTTGAAAAACAATAAAACGAAACAACAATACTTTTTTTTTACAGAACCAATGAGGGGGAACTGTTTTTCACATGACTTCCCCTCATTAGCCGTCATCGTTTATTCACATATGTACATATATAAATACTGTTTTTTTGCAAGAAAATCCCCTTTACCCCTGCGGGCGGGGGGGGGGGCTCACATTTACATGCCCGGTTTTATACAATTATTTACAATTATTACGCTATTATGTCGCTTTTCCTCTAAGGAGTCGCTCCCGTTCTCTTCCGTCTTTTGTTTTCGCATCCATTATCGTGCCCACCATGCTGACGAATGCTGTCTGCGCTTTGTCAGACGCCTCCATCAGGCGGCCTCTATGGCTACCCTCTGGAAGCTCTTCCGCGTTTGGACCACACAGTAGATCTTCCGGATTTGGTGGTCTTCTTAACAGTTGTTGTAGTTCTGTCCTGAAACAACAATACTGGATTCTAGAAAATAAATGATAACCACTAATAAACAACATCATAATAACGTGAAGTTTCCGCACCTCGGAGACAAGTATTACTCTAAAGTGAATTAACAAGTACCTACATAAATTGCATTTATTTCAACCAAAACTAAGTAAATTGACGATCGTAAAGAGTATGTCATAATTTAGTTGTAAATATCTTATCAAAAATAGGATTGGGGGACGACGGTACTTTTATGGATATTAACCGACTTCAAAATAGTAGTAGGTTAAAATTCTACATGTAGGTAAGATCAGGTATTTTTAAGCTATGTTCACGCATAACTTTGTAACTGGAAGACAAATCAGGAAGATTTTTAATGTTTTTTGAAAGCTTGGGTTTTATAATTGGTCTCATTACTCATAAAACTTCAAATTAATTGACCTAATTAACACTAATTAACCTACTTTTTTAATGCTTTTTCGTTATGTTATAATACAACAAAAATTATTAATAACTTAAAATTAACATTTATTGCTAATTAGATTATTAATTTAATATAACCTAGACCTATTATATGTCCATAACCTAAAACTTCGTAATTCAAGATTTACTTGATATATTATAGATTTATGTATAGCAGGCCATTTCATTCCATTTTTCAGAAGTCACAATTTTTTTTGGTATTAGATTATTTTAATTGATTTATTTACATATGAGCCATTTGCTTAGTTGACCTACCCACAGAGACGTATTAAGGAATTTTGCGCCCCAGGTAAGAAAAAAACGCCCCCTTCCCAACCTAAATTTCTTCAGCAATAGGTGTATTAAAAAAAAAACACATGATAGTGAAACCAATGCATTCTTTGCTACACTCATAATCTAAAAGGTATATTAGGTATACATAAAAAAATACATTTATTGAAGCACATATTACATAATTATTTAAGGTATATTTATTATTAATTATACAAAAAACCTAAATGTAATAGGTTATGTGACAACATTAAAAAAAAAAATTCCCTTAATGTATAAAATGCCCTATATGTATAAGAATATTAAATATGTTAAAATTAAAATTGTTTACGTCGAGCTTTTTCATTGGCAAAGGTATATGATATATGACAATGATCAAACTTCTTTGTTAAATCTGACTCTATGGTTGAAACAGCCAAAGAATTTAGCATCTCGTCTGTAGTTCTTGATCTCAAATACCCTTGACTTGACTCTTTTTAAGACTGAAAAATATCTCTCAGCAGAACAGTTAGATATAGGACAAGAAAGAAAAATTGGTAACGCAATTTCTACATATGGATACAAATCTTGATAGTTATTTTTTATGATCAGAGAATACACTGTACATTTTATGTATAGTATTAGGTAAATCATCACTTGGTAATGTTAATAAAAAAATCTCTAAAATGGACACATTCACTTACAAATTTAGAGGCAACTTCGTTGTGGTAATACTTTTGTAAATTTTCAGCATTTTCATAAACTTCAGATAGTGTCAAATTAATAATATAAAAAAAAAATCAAAATGTTCACATACTTGTTCATAAGCAGTTATTCGTTTTCTCAGTTCTCCATTAAGTCTATCTATAATGACCAAAAATGTTTTATTATAAAAGTTTGATCACCATCAAGTTCAGTGTCACCTCGAAATATTTTTGGGCGGCCATAAGAGCTCATGTAATATCTTATCAGTTTCCATTCTGGTTTCATCTATTCTGTGTATCTCAATTCTCAAACTACAATATACTTTTCTATGTCCTGGTATTATAAATGCATGTTTCGTGAAAAATGAAAACCACATTATTTTATTATAATTTTATTAGTATCATTAGGTACTTTTTTTTATCACACAAATGACCTACCGTATTACATATATCAAAATGCTCTCCAAAATTTACCGTCCCTAAAATTTTACCGCCCGGGGCTCAAGCCCCCCCCCTGGCCCCCCTAAATACATCTCTGCCTACCCATTATTTTTTATTATTACCAAGTTAACAAAAAGTATAAAAAAAAATAACAACTTACTCGTATGTTTATACTTTATATATATATAGTAAAGAAATTAATATTTAAACCATAAAAATAATACACTCTATGCGTATATGTATTTCGGCAACAATGTTGTCATCTTCAGCGTTAACGATAGGCCTTCTTAATAGTTAAATGATAACACTATATTTAAACTATCTTCTTCAGATCCCTCAAATTGTCTCTTTTCTAATATCTAAAATTTTAAAGTTTGTATTAACGTTAGTAAAAAAATCGTGTTTTCCATTTATCATATCTTAAATTTTCCACTGTATTTTTAATAGTTAAACATTTTAGCTTTAATGTAGAGCTGAAATGGTATTGTTTTTATATTAATGTTTTTACATTTTTTTTTGTTTTTTTATTTTTTTTTTGTGTTTTGACCCACGGTATCTCCTAACCGCATGCTTTAGATAATGTAAGATAGTTAAGATCACATAATCGATATTCTTTAGATGGCGAACCTATTGATATACATTGTCAACCCGAAAAAATATTATAAACTCTTTCCTTAGAACGGGTGGAACCTGTCTCTATTTAATTTTTTAAGCTTTGCTTTGGGAAAACGAATCAACAGTCGAAAAGTAAGTATCTGAAAAATTACGATATTTATTTTATTATACTTAAGTATTCGCCTTTTTTTTTTTAATTGGACCACTGTGGCGGCAGCTGTATGAAGACAATTTACAATTAAGTATAGTTAACGATGGTTCAATGGTCGACGAAGGAATAAAACTAAGTTGTTTTCCATAACCATTAATCGGTATTTTGAAGAAAAAAAAACATATATACTGCATACATGTTCTTCTCTACTAAAGGCCTTGCCTTATCGTTGGAAATCTGGTTCTCCATTCTTCCTTGTTAAAAGCCAGTC